AAAAAGGGGTGTGCACGTGCGCACGCGCTGAAGGAATTCAAAACCGTTCAAATGTCACCGGATGTGTAGTGTGCACCCATGCCAAAACAACAAACAAATTTTGAGTTGTATCACTTCAGCCGTTCCCGAGTTATGAAATGACGACCTCTTCTGGAACCTCTCACGTCGCACGCGGCACGCGCTGTAACAGGCACTCATGAGTTTTATGGATAGCACAATTCCATGAAGAAAGGATGCATCCCCTCTCCAAAGAAGACCGCTCATCAAACAGTCAAACCGTTTTGGAGATACATGTCAACAAAAGTCATTACGGCGGCCGGTCGGGCCGAAAAGTTCAATTTTCCCAACTCCTGTTACGTTCCGTAACGAGTACGGTGGACGCTGCCAGTTTACGGCGGCTGGTTGCCAAATTTCAACTTCGTCTAGAAAAGTCGCAATGCTTGGGGAATCTTGAGAAATGTCTAGCTCATTACGGCCGTAACGGTTACGGCGTCATTACGGATCCGGTGTGAACCACGCATAACACCCCTCACAAAAGAACTATTAGTAACCATTCGTTAAGCCCAAACGGCTGTTCTACTTGGATGCTACTCGTATTGTTCATCGGCTGGATGTCGGCCTTTGCTGTCTGCACGGTATGTACCGTATTTATGGATAGGTCACTGCATTCACACCGTCGCGATGTATCGCACACAACTACATGCATGGCATGAAAAGGGCACACAACAATGCAATAAGCTGTTTACAGCCACCAAAACGACCAACATCGCATCTTCTAACTCATTATTCAAATACAGCCAGCGCCCTACTCACGGTTCACACTGTCGCCGCATCATTATGTCTCCAACAGGGTCTCATTAACCTCTGGAGGTCTATTAGGCCGGGTTCGGCGGGTCCTGACGTGACGGCGAAGCACGCGCCGCACAGCACCGACACCGCCTGTTCCGACCGACCTGAAATGAATGGACGGTGGGAGCCAACAGGTGTCGGCAACTGTCGACGCCGACGGACCCAAAGCCGACGGCGCCGACACCACAGTCGCCGCCGCCGCCGTTACGACCAGGTGCCTCGATTGGGGAGGTGTGTGCTCTTTTCACAACCACGAACTATCCGCGAAGAGGTGTGATTTGATTGCCTTTCTGTAACCTGTCACGATCGGCATCAAACAAGTTATTAGCACTGCCGCAGTGGTTGGTGCAATATCTAAGGCTGACGGTGATTTGTGTGATCCTGGCGCAATCTTGCATCATATCGCGAAGACGTTGACAAAGCAAAATGATGACTTTTCTTAGAGCTGAAAGGTGAAGCAAAACAGTACGGTCGTGGACACCGAACATGACCAGGTTTTGAGGTAAGTCCCCTAAAAAGAACTTCTTGGAATGGTGTTTGACACAACATAGATGCGTGATTTCAGTTTGTTAGTTTTTTTCTTTAATGGGCCCAGGTCGTGTTCATGCCGACGGTGAGAAGTCCTAAAAATAATTGGAGAAGTTTGGATAGTACGCTGAATAATTGCGATTCAAACCATAAAGCTACACTCGTGGATCTCGAAATTTGGACACGAATTGACGAAAACGCCTGGCTGTCACCTGTCAGAAACAGCAAAAAGACGTCTTCCTTTTTGTTAAAAGAAAAAGTGAAAATTGTCATAAACTAAAAATGAGTCTAAGTTTGGTGGCCATGAATGGACCTTTTCACATCAATGAATCGTTAGTTGGCAAGGGCTTTCTGCTCAGTTGACATGCTTATACGAATGTGCAAAGTCTGTCGTTGAAATCATGGGAAGTTTTCAAATATGTTTTTAATCGATTAGAAGCACTTAGGAAAGGGGTAAGGGATTTCAACCAAAATGAGGCTAGCCGCATAAAGCCCCGATCCACCAAAAGCGAGGTGACAAGTGTTTGCTATAATTGCGCTGCAGAATCCCGTCTAAAAACAACCAGTTAGTACACATCAACATCGACATCAAAACGTGCAACCACATTGCAGCGGAATCTCAAACTAATCGCCATCACTGTCATACAGTATACGTAAGGGAAAATCTATAGACACGCCATAACCGCCATGTGAACTCAGACAACAAACCGTGAACGAATTATGCGTGGTTCACACCGGATCCGTAATGACGCCGTAACCGTTACGGCCGTAATGAGCTAGATATTTCTCAAGATTCCCCAAGCATTGTGACTTTTCTAGACGAAGTTGAAATGTGGCAACCAGCCGCCGTAAACTGGCAGCGTCCACCGTACTCGTTACGGAACGTAACAGAAGTTGGGAAAATTGAACTTTTCGGCCCGACCGGCCGCCGTAATGACTTTTGTTGACATGTATCTCCAAAACGGTTTGACTGTTTGATGAGCGGTCTTCTTTGGAGAGGGGATGTATCCTTTCTTCGTGGAACTGTGCTATCTATAAAACTCATGAGTGCCTGTTACAGCGCGTGCCACGTGCGACGTGAGAGGTTCCAGAAGAGCTCGTCATTTCAGAACTCGGGAACGGCTGAAGCGATACAGCTCAAAATTTGTTTGTTGTTTTGGCTGGGTACACACTACACATTCGGTGATCTTTGAACGGTTTTGAATTCCGGCTTCAGCGCGTGCGCACGTGCACACCCCTTTTTAATATCTCGGGATCTGCTGAGCCGATAGCGCTCATATTTTGTATGCTAGAGGACACCATGTAAATATGAATATTGCACAGGTTGGCAAAGACATTAGTATGCACGTGCGCACGTGCGGACCCCTTTTTAGTATGTGGGGATCCGCTGGTCCGATAGCGCTCATATTTTGTATGCTGAATAGCACCATGTTTATAAGCAGATTGCACGGGTTGGCAAAGGCATTGATTTGCACGTGCGCACGTGCGTACCCCTTTTTCATATCTGTGGATCGGCTAGGCCGATAGCTCTCATATTTTGTATGCTAAATAGCACCATGTTTATAAGTAGATTGCACGGGTTGGCAAAGACATTGATTTGCACGTGCGCACGTGCGTACCCCTTTTTCATATTTGTGGATCCGCTGGGCCGATAACGCTCATATTAAGTATGCCAAATGACACCATGCTGACCTGCAGATTGTACTGCAGTCAGCGAGGGTTTGAGCTAGCACGTGCGCACGTGCGCACCCTTTTTCCATAACCGCAGATCGGCTGGGCCGATAGAGCTTATATTACGTATGCTGAATAACACCATGCATATTAGTAGACTTCACAGGTCAGCGAGCGTATTGGTCTGCACTACGTGCGCGCGTGCTTACCCCTTTTTAATGACATGTTCTGATTGTGGGGATTGCATCTTTGGTAGGTTAAGCCAAGGTATCGCCGAGCAGTTATGAAGCTTCCAAATGTTGACGAGGGCAGCGGTCTGCTCGTGCGCACGTGCGGACCCTTTGGACTTTTACCTTAGCTCGAATCAACCTGCCAATGATTATTATTTCTTGTGAGCATGCCCTCAGCGTGTAACGCTCACGGCCTACTTTGTATCTTGTATGTTGAGTTCTGAGTTTCATGGAGTTCTGAGTAAACTTCACCGGCCATATTGCCCCTGCTACTTGCTAAATTTGATACTTGGACTTGTAGATATTTGCAGACGTTTGAATCCACATTGACTCTTGGCAAGCCAATCGAGCAAATGGTATACAATACAGATTCTGGCGTCCGTCGGTATTCCCATCACCCACGAATAGCAAAGAATGTAAGAAATAAACTTTAGCGTTGACGGGCATTGACATGCCCTCTTGTAAAATGCAAGAAATAATGCAAGAATATCCGTCCAGTGTTCTGCCCACCGGCGTTTAATTAACAATGATATTACTCGATACCACTGCAGACCGCTATGTCAGAGTGTAATTAAAAAATTAAAAGGAAGAGAGTAAAACAAGTCTACATTTTGACGCTCTGATATTAAAAACAGCTCTTGGCTTTAGTCCATTTTCCGCTTGCCTATAAACTTGATAGAGTTTTGGCGCACTTGATTCGAACGGTGACGCTCAGCGATGGCAATTCCCGGTGCACACCGAATCCGTAACCATTACGGCGTTACGGCGTCAAAAAAATCGAAGTACGCATGCGCGTTGCATTGTGCCCTCCACTTTCGAGATATTTTTTAATCGCCACCGTATTCATTACGGAACGTAACGGTCATTACGGATCCGGTGTGAACCACGCATTAACCGCGATTGTATGAGCCGGTCATGCAATGCACTGAAGAAACTGCTTGTGTTCAGTAATATCTACATCGAAAATGCTCTGATCGAACATGGTACATAAACATGCAATGCAAACTTTGTGGGCAGATGTTGTGTCAGTTTGGCACAATCAATGGCTTCTGAAACACTTTGATACATATTTCTAGAACAGCCTGAACGTTACTTAAGTTTGTAGTTACTACAGACGTACTGTGAAGTAAATGAGTAGGTATAAGCAGGAATAAGCTCTATACACTACAGCATTATTTTCACGCCTTCAAAAACCGAAGGGACATGTTCCCTTTCAGTTCTCACACCTCCGGTACCTACATTGAATGCTTAGAAGAGGAGTGTAGCGGGACCAGAGTGTATAGCAGGGGTGGCTATCGAGAGGTTTTAAAAGAATCGACATGGAAAAGATGTTCTCACCATTGGCCTTTGCTTTTCTCCCGAGTGCTTTGTTTTCAGTTTCTTTTCCTCTTTACAGCAGTTTCTTGCCATTCTTCCTGCTAATCAGTCGCAAAAAATGTAACAAAAAGAGCCCATTACCTACCAAAAAGACAACGATAGGTCCTGGAGTGACTTTCCCATTCCACACACAAAAAGGTACGCTTTTGTGTTGTTCATATAAGCCGGCGTCTCCATGCCTGATAGCGTTTACTAGTGACTTTCTGTAACAAATGGCCACCACTTCGACTGGCCAATCGTCAGCTCACGCCGTGCCAAGTTGGCCTTGGCCAGGTCACGTGATCTGATGCCGGTCACGTGATCTCCAGCCCGAGGGCACGAGCTGGCCAGCCGGCGCGGCCCGGCGCGGTGGCCCGGCTGCCCCCAGCCCCGCGTCTGCGGGGTAAGTAAACACAGAGCTCTAAAGGCTTCAGAGCTTATTGTTGATCAAACTTAAAAGTCAGCTCATCAGGAAACTTAAGCTTTATTTTTTAGTCAATACACGTTAATAGTAAATAACACTTCATACCTTCGTGTCCCAGACCACCTCTGCTCTGAAGGCATGGGGGGCCGTCTGCAGCTGTCCCCGAACGCCTCCGGCGTCCACCAGCTGGTGGACCCGGCTGTGGACAGGTCTGCGGATCTTCAGCAGCTGGGCGACTGGCCCACTCTGAACACAGACATCGACCCGCTGGTCGTCGCCACCTTTCACGTGAGTGAACCGAATTGTGTCGGTCTGTCCATGAATCAGTGGATTGCCATATTCGTTACATATAGATTAGCAAAACTGTGCTATGCTGCCGTGCCGTGATACCTATATTTTGTCCAGATTCTGATGCATCGCTTCTATTTCCTAGAGTTGTGACTATTCCGATAGAAATATTAACCATCATTAGTCCGTATCAAGATCATTATGTGTGTTTTCTTTGGTCACTTTACAATTCACCCAGCAGATAGTGTGAAACAAATGCTGATCCCGGCCTGCTGTGTCGCACCTCCAGTCCCACCCCTTCTACATAGTTCTGACAGAAGGGTCTTCTCTGTTTTTTTTTTCTGTCGGCAGAACCCGCCGTACACAATCGTGGACCCTCAGGACTCTCAGAACGTGACCGGTTACCTGGCCGATCTGATGTCGGTCCTGTCCGAGGAGATCGGCTTCTCCATCCAGTACGACATCAACAACACGGTGGGCGACTTTGGCGTGCAGCGGCCGGACGGCACGTTCAGCGGACTGGTCGGCAGGCTCGTGGACAAGGTGAGAGATCGGCGGCATCGCGAGTTTATCGAATGTTGTTTGCTATTATTGAATGCTTTTGGTTGTCATTGGGCATGTAATTGAACATCATCTGATTAACAGGTAGGTATAGCTAGTGGCCACCTGTACGTGTCACAAAGTGGATTTCGACGTAAGACTGAAGTTTCGTAAATTAGAGGACGGAGATAGCACGGTCCGTGTTTTATGTGAGAGCTAAAATAAGCTACGACAATGCTGTCCTTTATCGTTTTCAGAAAGCTCACGTGGGCTTGGCAGCCATGTCCTGGCGGCGAGAGAGGCAGTCGGTGGTCGACTTTGTTGGAAAGGTTCCTGTAGCTGTGGAAGAGATTAATTTCTACGTACCGGGACGACCACAGGCTAGCATGGACGAGATGGAGTCACTGCTAACACCGCTGGACAAAAATGTCTGGATCTGCCTAGGTAGGTGTGGGGGCAGAAAATGTTTGGCAACTATGTATCTTAATTAACTAAATGAAGGCTATTGAATAAGCTAATCTAAGGGAATCTGAATTTCTTAGGGCGTTAAAACGACAAAAATGAAACTGCGTTTTAACTTAAATCGCAGTTTCATTTTTGTCGTCGTCAAAACCGAAGGTTACACCATGACACACACTTATCTCTTAGCTTATACTATATTTAACCGCGTTTTGACTTTTTGAAGAGGGCCAGAACTTTTTGCGCACCCTGTATAAATTTTAAGTTATTCTGGTGTTCACGTATAAGGTTCTGTGTGTCGCTACGATAGAGGGAGGGGGCACTCCTGGTCACCTGATCAGTGATCGTGGGTGGCGACTTAGAAAAAGAAATCACATTATCAGAGGTACAGAATGATCATTGTTTTTAATTTCCCAAACATCCCATACCTAAATTTCCGCCTAAATTAAATCCCCCGATCTCCTCGCCTCCGCAGTGTGCAGTATGCTGGTGGCGGCCATCTTGCTGCGGGTCACCGTGTTCGTGACCCGACCCCGTGACCCGGAGGACGTGCGCACGTTCGACGCCGCCTCCAGCCTGCTGCACGTACTCGGCTGTGTCGTCCAGCAGGTGCGAGAGTTCAAACGTCGCGTGAGGAGCGAGGGATTTGAAACGGCTTAGAATGGGTTGTGGGAGTAATTTGGAGGTCCGGTTAGGGTATGGAATTGGATTATTGTAATTAGGGTAAGTGGTTTCGGTACTCACACCTGGCAGTTCAGACAGCATAGTTTACTGGTCCATGGACGTAAAATGCATTGCACAATGCACATTGTCAATAAAATCGTAAGCAGTATTCGGGTTAGTGCTTTGTCCATCACCATTGACTGAACTATTCTGGAGCCTGAACTGTTTCCTATTTCACATTCTTTGATAGCTTAGTAATTTTCCAGCTGAGAAAGCTCCATTCTTTTCATCGATTAAGTTAGGGCACAAAACGATTCTATCTAACTAGCGGACTCTCTCTCTCTCTCTCTCTCTCTCTCTCTCTCTCTCTCTCTCTCTCTCTCTCTCTCTCTCTCTCGCTCCCTCTCTCTTCCCCCCGGTAGAGCTGGGCCAGCACTCCGAGCAGCTACTCGCCTCGTCTAGTGACTCTGGCTGCCCGTGTGCTCGGTATCCTCATCTACGTCGAGTACACCGCTGTGCTCGTCTCTGTGCTGACCGTGCTCCGGGTACAGACGGATATCGCCTCAGTGGAGGAGTTTGTGGCCATGTCCGACTGGTCGCTGCTCATCCAGCCAGGAGTGGCCTACACGGGAGACTGGAAGGTGCGGTTATGTGGCCTTTGATTGAGACCAAAGGACAGCTGTCCTCGTTGTAAAGTGCACCTTATTTGCTGTGATCTCCATTGCGGAAGAAACGCTCATTTCTGAAATTTTTCTTTGGATTATAGGTGAGGCAGCACCTCTCACGAAGCGTCTAAAAAAATTGTACTAAATTTGCTTTTCGTTGGTGAGCAAATATCGTTTTTAAACGTTTAATGTTAGGTAATTCGTAGAGATAACTGGTCATCTCCCCATCGCGTCTTCTCAGACAAGTAAAGAGGGTGCACTCAGAACTCTCTACCGGCGACTGGAAGACAACGAGCGGATAAAAATCTTCGCAGTGGAGAACGCCAACCAGATGTTTGACGGGAAAACGGTCACAACCTTCGACAGACAGCAGGCAAGCTTTGTCAAAACCATTGGGCCTGAAAAGGGTGTCGCAAGCTATTTGAGTATGTACATTGGAAATTCATTTCAAAGTGTTTTAATTTATGATTGACATAGAACGCAGTTTTTCTTTTGAGGAAATAGTCATTGCAAGGTCCGGTAAGCTAAGTTTTGTTTGTAACTGGGTATTGTAAAACGCAGAAGGGTTTTAAAGAAAGCTATTCCTGTGATTTGTGTGAACGTATTCCTGTGATACGTTCAGCTATAACTTATGACAATTGCTAACAGTAAACTCTCTCACTCTTTCCCTCTCCCCCCCTCTCTCTCTCTCTCTCTCTCTCTCTCTCTCTCCCACAGGCATTTATTCTTCTCGGAGCGAAGGCATGCGATCTGGTATCGCTGCCGATAGAGCGACCGATCAACGAAAATGAGGGGACAACCGTTTATCGGTCCCAGAAAAAAGACCCCGGATTCCTCGTCATGCAGAAAAACATGAAGATCAAAAAGGAAATCGACAGAGTGTCAGTCATAGCGGCGACATACAATAAGCCTTACATGTACTTAGCTCTTTATGATCACGTCATACATTACGGAAACATCTTAATTCTTTTCAATCTTTTAGATTTATAAATATCTTTGAATTAACGGCACATAATCCATAATAATCAATCAAAAAGTTGTCAGGCTTCAATGTCGCTATTACGTATCGCTATTGCATCACGTACGATAATGGGGATGTAGCTAAGTTGTGACTTGATGATGCAATGACGATTTAACTAATGCGTGCTAAAGGAATATGCCGCTTAGCAATCAGCTCTGTTTGTTTTGTTTTCAGGATGCTAGTCATGTACCAGAGCGGCACGCTGAACAGCCTGTTCAACCGCTGGTTCTGGAACGCCACCAATCAGGAGTGTGCCACCTCTGTGAGCCTGCGGCCGCTCTCCTTTCCAGAACTGAGCGCCATAGTCTACATGGTTCCGGCAGGTGAGGACCAGAAATGGGTGGGACCAAGGGTGGTCGTGCTGCTAGCTGTCAAAGGCAGACTATTTAGGTGACCAGGCAAACAAGACTCTACTTTCAAATTGACGAAAGGAACAACATGACGCCGCTGAGCTTTCATGGTTCCGTCATTTTATTCATCCTTCTGCAGGTGTTGTTCTCAGTATGGCAGTCCTGCTGCTCGAGTGTCTATTCGTCTACTGCGCGAACAGCACGGACATCTACTACAACTACAGAGAGGAGGATCTCCCGATCAAACACGACCTTTGGAGGATGTGATCACGGTGATCATTGCCATCACGACCTATGGAGGACGTGATCACCCCAATCTTTGGAGGATGCGACCGCCAAGACCTGTGGAGGATCTGATCATCGCGACTTTATATGATCACAATGGCAAAAAATTGTGACATGCTTAGGAAGCCTGATGATGTTTATCATTGTGATGGTCAAATTCATGTGTGATCCCTCGATGTCGAATGATCTGTGCAGTGTGCATGAGCGCATGTTTTGGCGAGAAATATAGGCCGAAAACAGAGAGAGCCTGTGATTGGGACTGGCATGGAGAAGCATGTACCTGTATATCAGGATGGTGCAAATCACTTATTGTTGTGCTTACTGAACTCAGCGATTGAGCCGCTTGTCAGTGTTCTTGCAGTTTTTAAATGTATTACTTTTAACAAGCATTCTATCAACAATGCTTTTCTTGAATCCAAAATAAAGCTGTCTCATGTTAGTGTCGTTCCTGACTGGTCAAACTGGCTGACATAACAGATAATCGATGGATTTGCGAGACCATTTAGCTGAACATCCTCAGCCGCGTATTTATTATCAGCATTATTATCAGCAGCACCATTATTATATGACGTATGTCCTCACCTCCCAGGATGCATAGTACCCACCCACACTCACAATTCACACGGACAGAGAACACCCATCTAATGGGTGCTGCGCACGTGACAGTTTCCTGTTAATTATGACATTAGCATTTCAGATCGTTGCCGGCCATTCACACTGAAGGCATTGTGTCGCTCCGACACCGCCACCCGCGGCATTGAGCCGACCCTTTGAGCCGCCGCGCCACCCATTAGCCGGGCTGCCGACGACTCGACGGGAAGTTATACCGTCCCTTAGCACGCCGTCGGACAATGCAGGCACGCTGGACATCCGTGCACCTTCATGGCAGGCACACAATTAGATACACTGGGAGGCTCCTTGTTTACTGGGGCTGCAGAAAATGCGGGCGGGATGCTTGCGTGGGAGTGGACCATGTGTGTGAAAGACTCACTGAGAGGCATGGATGACACGTGAGTGGCCTGTGGTTGTGGTTGTAATATGTATGCATATTTGGGGAATAACATGGATTACTCGTTAGGCAACTGATGGTGACTGAGTCATACGTTTTGTGTTCGATAGATACCTTTGGAATAGGTAGATACAAATGCTTATTACGCCGAGACAACAATACATATAATTATTTGAAGATAGGTGCTCTATGGCAGTGGTTGCAATTTTAAAAATATCATGAGCTCCGCTGTCTGCACACTACAGGGAATGACTTTTCTTGGTCTTCTTGAGTTTGAATTTTTACATAAGCCAGCATACTCATATACTCGTATGCATAAGTACGCATGCATGCGTTTACAATTTACGCATTTCTTCTGTTAGCCACTCACGATTTTGACATCACCTCAAAAACTCGTTGATCCACTTCAATTTCCGCGCGTCAGTTTAGTCGGCCTGGCACAATTTATTGCATATCGGCGCGTCTTTGAGGCCATCTGACGCTCATGAAGTCGCCATAAGCCACCGCCTTCGAGCCGTCTCACGCTACGCTCAAGGTTGCCAATACGTGGACGCACCGAGATCGTGCAAATCCCCGCCAAGGCTGGTTAGGTCATGACGCCTGGCGGCTGCTGAACCTGAGATAAAGCAATAAACGCTGTATGCCCAGCGGCACCCCGTCTGCGCCCGGGCGGGATGTTGCTGACCCCGTGTGACCTCTCGTAGTGGGTTACCGGCCACGGGGGGGGGGGGATAGCGAAGGTGGCCCCGTCTGCAGCATTGGCAGGACGTGGGAGAGAGCCAGCCACCCTAGTAACCAGACGGCAGGCTGGGATGGACTGGGGAGGGCCGCCCGACTGTGGGAAGCCCAGCACGGCGTGAGTGAAACGGTCCTGGGGCGGGGCCAAATGGGGTGCCCGCCAGCCTATTGAGCTGAGCTCATAGCGCCATGATGTAAGGGAGGTAGTTTAATAAATTTAGGGGCCAGGCCATCTCATTCCTCGGGAGGGCCCACAGGTCAGCCGATGATTTTATCAATCGGTTCCGGCCGAGCTGATGCATATGACTAGGTCATAGGTGTTTAGCATATCCTTCATGTCGGTGGTAGAGAAGATCAAGAGGTTCATCTCGGGGACTCTTCAGTGCTGATTTTCTGGTAATTTTCAGGTAATTTAAAAAAGGGTATTGCCGATTTATATTACTTGATATGCTCTTATCAAATGTCAACAACATCGAAGTCAATAAATATCTTGCATTTGAGATTCTTCTTCTCATGCCAATAGTTATAGCCATTATTGAGAAGATGAATTTATGTTCTCCAAAAGGTAGGCTTCTTATGAAGGCTGCGCGTAATTTCCGCTAGATATTATAAACATCAAAGTATCTACATGACTCACTACTAAATGTTCATATGTATACGGAACATGCACCGTCCCTGAAGCCTTACTTTATCTTGACCATTAGCATTGCCGGTCGACCTTCACACATTGCAGATTTGTTGAACAATGTAATAAATCATTTTCATACGTGAGCAATACATTTTCGCTTTGATATGTGTCAGTGCCATCCAGACATGTGCATGAATACGAGAAAATGGATCTGGGATCTGATCCCACGGATCCTGATCTCGGATCCGTCGGGATCATAGATCCAGCTCTGTAATTTATCGAGAGATCCATAGGGATCACAGATCCGAGTCTCATTTTTTGCTTGAGATCCAGTGAGATCATAGATCCTCACTTATTTTTTGTTAACATATATCCCAAAAAAGCACTTGTTTCAACTCACAAACGTTCTGTTTTAGTGATTTTATGTGATCGCACGTCATAATCCATAGTTTTGTGTCACTTATTGGCATAGAAACCCTTTAAACATGGTTTCAAATGTGGTGCATGGTGGGATCCACTGAGATCATAGATCCATGTTCTTAATTTATCGTCAGATCATATGAGATCATAGATCCAAGATGTATTTTTCACGCCGGATCCGGTGGGATCATAGATCCCAACCTGTACTTTGCTTTGAGATCCACTGAGATCATAGATCCATTACTCGGATCCATGCACATGTCTGGTGCCATCGTCAATGTCCCTGATCTTCCGAGGCGAAAGACACTCGTATCTGTTACAGACATAATTATTGCTATAGTATGTCTGTCTCTGTCACGAAGTGTCAACGAAGCCATATCTGAAAGTTACAGCTAAGGTGTTTGTCGTGACTATGCTCAGCACACTATCGTTTAAATTTATTGATCGGGATCACTACGTGCAATGCCATGCAGGTTCGGTGTCTATCAATGTCGATCGAGCTTTGATATAACCTCTTGTAAGGCGGGATATGGGACGTGATGACAAATAGAATGCATATGCATAGACGACGCAGTCGTGCAATAACCAGTCACATGACAACATTAGCCGACTCATCGACCCATCAGGCCAATGACTATGTGCAACTTCTTTGGCTCTGAGGACCAATGCCGCGTCAGAGTGCAGACCAGTGCTAGTGCACTCTGCAGGCATTTCATATAGTGGATACTTCATGATACTACTAAGGCTCCTCAAGGTAAAAACATAAACACGAAAAACCAACTAAAAAGCCACCGTGAACAAAGCTCACTCTAGTCGACATTTGAACAAACACCAACAAGTGGTTGTTCCTCTCTTGCTGAAAGTACCTACTAAATTGTAGTATGTATGTAGCAGGCGGCTGGGGCGAGAAAGTTCCTTGTAATTAGTGACCGATTAGGTACCTCTAATTTATCTAAAGGAGCTCCATGTCTTATCGGACCTATGCTAGACTTAAAGTTCTTATTCTACAACACATAATTCCAATTGCGTCGCACATGATCGGTATAAACGATGCTAATATGCACCGACAAGAGCATGTGCTTATTCTAAGCAATGTCTAATCCAATTTCGATTCCGGCGAGAACCGTCGACTCTAGCCGACTCCGACTATGCAGGCCTGGTTACATCTTGTTCGTATATGCTGTCATGGCTGGGCGCAGGGATGGTTACCGGTCTATCCTGCATGAGCTTCCGCAATCAGTTCAGCCTGTTCGTGACTCCAGCGCCTGCAGAGCTGCTACACGACTCGTATAGTCGGATAGTTAGGACATGCAGCAGGGTATTTAGTGGCCTGTACCGCCGTACATTATCGGAAGGTCAGCCACTGTTCGCGTGAAATGACGAAGTATGTGATAAGAAAAGGATAAATTGAGAGAGAGAGAGAGAGAGAGAGAGAGAGAGAGAGAGAGAGAGAGAGAGAGAGAGAGAGAGAGAGAGAGAGAGAGGGAGAGAGAGAGAGAGAGAGAGGGAGAGAGACAGACAGACAGACAGACAGACAGACAGACAGACAGACAGACAGACAGACAGACAGACAGACAGACAGACAGACAGACAGACAGACAGACAGACAGACAGACCGACAGACCGACAGACCGACAGACCGACAGACCGACAGACCGACAGACCGACAGACAGAGGGAGACGGAGAGCGCGAAAGTAAAAAAAAGATATAGAAAGAGAGATAGATAAAAAATCGATTTTTCCTCTGTTTTCTGACCATTGCCCTGAGCCTTCGGCATCAGCTGCAGCGGTTGCATGAATAATGAGAATGAACATGAAGGATGGCAATGAATCCTTGTCACAGTTTATCAGGCAGACGTTCTCCCACATATGGAATAAAACAAGATGCTGTCACCGATTTTCTTGTTGCCGGCGGGAGGTCAGACCGTCAGATCAGTCAACAATCAAACTAGAATGAAGGCTGTTTATTCCGTTTAGAGTATTTATGTTCGTATCGCTCCCTTGAGTTCGATCCGACACCCCGCAGTTCATTCATCAATCTTCAGCATGGTAGAGACCAACGTCAGCGTCAACATGTGTAAGGTGACCAGGAAGCTGGGAATAGTGGTCGTCAGCCCCTCCCCACCCCAGCCAGCAAAATCGGTCTGCCGGTCGTATCTGGTTTTACTCTGGCTAGCTCCGGCATTGTTCCGGCCGAAGGACGGGCAAGGCCTGGAGCTCTATAGCTGACACACGATCCTAGAGCTTAACCGCACCACAGCCGGACTTACGTCGCATCAGCCGTGCCGTACCTCAACCGTACTCCTGCCACAGCAAGCCAGAGCAGCTACCAGGCATCCAGACCTGGCTGTAGCACACCGTGGCAGGGAGCCGGACCTGAGCCGGACTTGGCGGTTCGAAACCATACAAACCCCGGAGCGCTACGGCAAAGGCTGGCTAGCGGGAATGGAGCCTTACCGACCCCAAACCCCTGTTCCGACGGCGTTCCGTTTACACCGGCTCAGATGTCGGAGCTGTCGCGGCAGAACGGACTAAAGCGAAACCAAATTACTGGCTGGGATGCCCCGATGTGGCTCAAAGTTATTTCTATATGTAAACTTACGGGCACCTCCGATCAGTTTTCCCCCGGACGAAAGGCCATAAATATGTGTGTGGCCCTGAGTTCAGATGATGCCAAAATATTTCCTCTGCGAAGGTATCATCTCTTCGCTGGCAGGCGTCTTTGCGTCACGGTGGTGACTACCTGATTTAAAATAATTATGCTCATCTGAAATAACAATGTTTAACCCTCGCCCGCACATGGGGGGGGGGGGGTGGTTGCCACCCCCCCCAGGTAGTCTTTCTGCTCTGCACTCAACATTTTTAGAGCTAGAAGGCTGATTTTTCGTATAGCTGCTCCTCTATCCTTTCTTGATGTCCACTGAAAATTTCAAGTTTCTGTGATTTTTGGTTTCGGAGATATGACCTTGTTTTTCAGGTCATGTCATGACCCAAATCGCCAATTCTCAACATCTTGCGTTTGCCATGGGCCTTATGAGCTTTTGACACCCTGATTTCGGCCTTTTTTGCCAGTCTTACCTCCTACCTATCATGGAACATGTTGTTCGACGATGTACAGGGGTCAAGGTCAGGGTCAAGGTCAACCTAGGTCACCTAAGATAATTGCGTTTTAGGCAAGCTGAGTTTACTTTTTTTGAAGTTTTTTGACTGCATTTTTGGTAAAAGCTTCTCAGATCATGATTTCATGTAATATGGACCCAAAAACAATCGGTGCACACATCAGTATACACACAGACACACACAGACATACAAACACATATAATTGACCTTGACCTAACTTGACCTGAAATGACCTCAGCAGCAAAATTCTGGTCGGGTAGTGTGACAAAGAGGTTCTAGCTGGCTTGGCACCAGAAAACAGCATCGTCATCGGTATTTGATAAGCAGCACACTTGATATCCAACGGTGACCCAAAACAGCAACATTTTTTAGTTTGACCTGACCTGGAAGGTCAATGACTGACCTGAGAAGGTAAAACTGGGTATCATTGGATTCGTCTCTTCCCAAAGAATCTTTTTGGTCTTTACTGCTAAGCTCTATCTCCAACAGGAACGAAATGGCGCGGGGGGGGGGGTGGCAACCACCCCCCCATGTGCGTTCTAGGATGGGAAAATGGCATGTGCGGGCGAGGGTTAAGAAACCCTGTAGTCCTTGTTTCATCGCGATGTGATCAGATGTTTGTGGATAGGTATGTGAAAACAGTCTTTGCTTTTCAGAAGACTCATGCATCATGACATTCCATTTGAAGTTCATGGAGAGTCCATTGGTGCCCTTCCGTACTCGCTAACTTAATTGTGCTGGGTGTTATATAAGAAATTAGCTGCAAGCCATATTTGACGTCACGCAAGATAAAGAATATGTGCAACTCCCAGGCATCGGACCTTGCACGGAGGGCGATAAATCACGATCGCATTGCGAGTGGTCGACGGCTGAAGATAGTGTGAGATGAGGTCATTTCCGGCGCTGAATAAGCCGCTTCCATGAGCACTCTCATTCACTCCGAATGGTGAGGAGGTCTCGTGACCTGACCTTAAGTGACCCGTTAAAAATGCGAGATATTCATTTCGAAATATCCATTCCCAAAGCATTCTTAGCAATTGCAAAAGCACCGGCAGGGGCGGCACCAAGTCAACCATCCTCGACAGGAGCAGGCTAAGGAAGAAAGAATTGATAATGCCTAATCAAACTACGACTGTGGATACGAAAGACTCGTGCTTTTCTCTTGACCTTTTTCGAACACTGATAGAAACGAATTCGCATTTGCTTGTTTACATGCATGTATTTTCATAGCTTGCAACAATATCACACGATGCAGGTATGGTATGACATCAAAGCAGAAGGTAACTATTGCCTCAAAATATCCACCCTAGCAGAAAGTTCAGAGTCTTTTTTCGTGCGACGTGCGTTAGAGTTGTTAAGTCTAAAATTTGCCAGAAGTTGAAGACATAGCTACATCAGACGCAGTTACAAAGCAGTCGTAAGTGCATTCGCGTCATGTGATCAAACTATACGTGAAATAACACTCACAAAAAGCGGAAAAGTGACACTAAGACACTAATCCATCGACACTAAAATACACTAATTCATCGAGTGGTTCACAGTCATGGCTGCTCGGTTGGTGTGCTGGTTGTGTTCTAGTTGATATGAAGAGAATACATCTGTCGAGGTCGATTATTGGCTGGGGCTGCGGGAAACGATAGGCTGGAAGCCATTCTCGTCAGCAATCCACCTGAAATCAGACAGAATGGTGAATATTTAGAGAGAGAAAAGGACAAAGATCGCTCAGGCAGTGCCATGGGTACTTTTTATGCAATTACACATTCACGTTTTTGATTTCGTCATGCTCTACCCGCAAGGCTTACATTGAACACTGTACCTTCTTGAAATGGAAAAACCTTTAATCGATCAGCATAGGAACCATGCAGCCTTATGTGATAAAATTGTTCAAGGCATTGAACAAAAACAGCCCACCATCCACGTAACGATCCCACCGCCGCTCCACCCCTGACCAGGACTGACCTGACCTCGATGAGCTCGCCGTTGGGGGCGACGTACGAGTAGGATCCCTGCATGACGGTGCCGACGCCGTCGCCGATCTGGCGCTGCTCTCCCTGGGCCTCGACCTCAATGCTGTCGGCCGACGCGTAACTGTGGCACACCAAGTTTGAGTCAGTTTAGACTAAAAATCCCCCAAAATGATAGGCTGCTGTTTCATCCGAGAAACTCTTAAATTTGTCGTCAAACAGGCTGGTGGAATGGACATTGAACATCGCCACACCTGGTTTAGCTCTTACTGCCTATATCACTTGGTAGGTGAAGCTTGTGAAGCGCTGAGGCGCAGCGTTCCACTCACTCGTACTGGAAGCTGCCCTCCGGGCTCTGGTTGTTGCTCTGACGGAGGATCGGCACCGGATCGCTACGCTGCTGCTGCTGCCTCAGTGGCTGGTCCAGCTGCAGTCTCAGCGGCTGATCGAGCTGCTGAGCGGACTGATCCAGCTGCTGGGTCAGCGGCTGGGCCAGCTGCTGGCGGGGCTGGAACTGCTGACCAAACTGCTGCTGCGGCAGCTGGCCGAACTGCTGCTGCTGCGGCAGCTGGCCGAACTGCTGCTGCTGAGGAAGCTGACCGAACTGCGAGCGCAGCTGCGGTCGGCCGAAGCGCGACTGTCCGAACTGCTGGCCCTGGCCGAGCCTGCGCCGCTCGAACTGCTGCTGGCCCAGCACGGCCACAGCCAGACACAGGAACGCCTGAAACCGAAAGGACCGTAAGAATGTCAACTTCGTCTGATGATTTTACTTTGTATCGACGAATTTTTGGAGACGTGCGAAGATTGCTTTTAAAACTACGTTTCAATATTGCAAGGAATGAAACGTTCTGGAGCCAATAAAGCGCTTCAAAGCATATAGGAATTTATCGTTGCTCTAGGTTGAATATAACATAGCACCTACCGCCAGTTTCAGCATGGTGTCTCTCCTCTGTGCAGTATCTGACTAGCCCCGAGCAGATGCAACTGGTGCCTCGGTCTGGAACGCACAGGCTTTTATACCGGTCGGGCTCCGTTAATGTGTATTAGCTCATGCTGCTGATCACGGCTCACTGGTCCTCAGAGGGCAGAGGGCAAGGGCGCGCCGGTGGGCTAGCGGCCGTGCACTGCAGATCGGCAGGCACACAGGTGTGGCTGCATTGCATAACGCTTGTCAAGTTTACAGTTTATCGGAGCTTTTTCGGCTTGCCTCCTTCCTGATGACTTACTACTGAGCCGATATCAGATATTACTGACAAATGTATTCTACCTTATTTGGGTCACGTCGACCATAACAGCCATTTGCTAAAAAATTGTTGGTTTTGTTCAATTTTTCTTCGATCACCTCTTTGATCTAATTTCTTCTGCCAAATAAATGAACAAGAGTTATAATTATTTTTTTGCGATATCCTAAGGGCTCATATGAGCGTGCAAGCCTTTTCCTGGGGACCTTATGAAAGCTGTAGTACCTCTAGAATACTAGCAGCACCCGCAGAGAAAAAGTAAAGGCAGCTGCTTCACTTACGGGATTTCGTGTATTTCGAATCCAGACTCACAGCATGAGGAGTTAACCCAAAACAACTTTTAAAATATCCCACCAGTTGACTTACCTATTCAAGCTTACCGACTATTTCATCGACCATAAAACGAATTCTTTATTATAAACATAAATGCAATAACTCAAAACATCACTCTAAGTATTTCGTCTTTTTCTTTAGAGAACTGCTAGGTGACAGCCAAAAACTGTCGAACGATTCAAGAAAATACCTAATAAAATACCTACCACATCATGACATCAGATAAAACCCAGATGCTATGCACCCATTTTGGTCACTATCAGTGCAGAAAGCTTTTTCTAATTGGTGTGAAAGGCCCCACAATATTGCGCTCGCACAAAGACCGCGGGTTCCGACATTGCCGTTTCAAGTTCATAGAGTCATATCCAATATTGTGAATATCCAGGCAACGCGGGGTGGGATAGGATCCTATGCCTGTGTAGGATCACCCACATATGCCGTGAACATGTTGATTTTGTGCTGCTTGTTGTACACCACTGCAAAGAATGGTCGGTCTGCTTTGAAATCTGCGGGCGGATTTCCGCGACCAATGATCACGGCACCTGCTCCTGCCGCCTCTGTGCCGTTCTCGTTGACTTCAATGAACACTTTGTGGAGAATGGCGGTCACAAAGAGACCTTGCCAGTCATCAGTTAGACTACTGAAGTCAGCCCCAGCACTGAATATCTGCTTAATGCCCAACTGCTGCATATCGTCAACCAGAGAATAATCTGATTCAATCTTGAAACGAGGAAGCGTAACATAGACTGGCTGCCCGACCAATTGCTGAACAATACTGTTTACGCTCAGGGTGCCCAGGGAGTTTCGTAGCGCAGTTGCTGCCGACATGCTACGCTCCAAAGGTCTAATCAAAAGCATACAATAATCCTCATCCGTATACGGAAGAGCCACAACATCGTATGTACCCATATTTGCATACTGTAACTCGGTCAGATTTAGTTTCATCATGTTAACCTGCTTCTCTCCATTCCCCGTCAGAAACGTACCAGGCGCGGCAGGAGGAAAGGTCTGCTTCCAAACACCTTTGAAATACATCGCGCTAACCAGAACCACTTCTGCGAATCGCAGATGACTGGTTTGTACGAGGTCTTGTATGCGATCTTCAGTGGCCGCCGCGACATCTCCGTTGATGAGCGTCACACCTTGTGCCGGTGTGGAGAAGGTGCCCACGGTGTTTCCGTAGTAGGCGGTCAGGTAGTTGGTGAAGGTAGGCCTCACGCTGAAGCCGCTCCTGACGTACATCCGGTTGAAGACGGAGGTGGTGAGCTGGCTGGATGCGGAGGAGCTCGACAGGTAGCTGATGGCAGACTTGTAGGCGGTGAGGAACGACAGAGGCGCCGGCTGAGTCACGCCCAACACAGGCGTTATCTGTGAACGTGTTATAGACCGTGGTCAGTTTCTGATACAAGTACAGCTATGATCCGGCTAATGAGAGTACTAAAAGAAGAAAAATACATCAAAATGGACAACATAAATTTAAATTTCATTTAAATGCAGGCATATCGATGTTTAAAAGTAACTACTAACTAGTAATCAAAACTTAGGCTAATCATTTGATATTTCCGCGAGGAAGCAGTACAGGCTGCATACTAATTGCGCTGATCCCATGGCTACCTCACCTCATCCCTTGTGGAGCCGTTGGTGGCCAGCCAGACCTGAGACATCAGGGTGGACATGACGAACGGAGAGATGGCGTGGTTCTCGCCGAGGTTGACAGTCACCTCCTTCATCAGCTTCAGGTCCAGTGCAGAGGGCACCTCGCAGGACGGAGTCACAGCCATGCCGTACAATAGCCACGGAATACCTATACACGAGTTAGTGCGCTTTTGTCATGGCAGCTGTTTTCGAAAATCGAGGCGGGAGTATTTACGTTAGATGTTAGCTGATTTGTAGGCCCATGCATAACACATTTCAAGTTACGATTGGAAAGTGGCAGAGTATATTGAATTAGGGAAAGTGGCTCGCAATGCTAAGACATCTCGAAGACCTTTGCTGTCTCCACAGTGGAAAGAAGAGCTCGATGCCCGGTGCCGGTTGACGTAGGTATTTATGTACAAACTGAATATGAATATCTATTAACTTTCTACTTACATCGTAAGATCATTGCTGTTTTTGCTGCACTTCTTCAGCAATCAATGCAAAACAAATCTTATGCTCCTGGAGCCTACTGATGTTGACTGCTTTCCTGCCGTGCATTAACTGCCCCGTCAACATGACAGCAAATGCGACGCGGTGCAGGTGGATGCGGTTTGGGCTGATGAAATCATGACTCGACGCTTTTTAGAAAAGCTGGTGCAGTAGTTTTGAGTGACGACTGACAAGGGGCGCAGAGGCATATAATGCATCGTTAGAAATATATTTGTTGTAAAATGTCACTGAAGCACCCATTGCAGCAATGTGCACTGTTCTTGCCCAGGGCTAGCACTCGCCCCGAAGGACCCATGTCCGCTGAAGTGCTGGGAGGGGGGGGGGGGGGGGAGTCGGGCCCTGTTATATACGAAACCACTCTGTACGCTATTTCAAACTACTTAATTGTTACTGTAGCTATTTCCAAATGCCTACCACGAAAGTTTGGCTCATCACTTCTCCATTATTTTTTGTTCTTTTATCTTTTTTGTTCTTTTTATCTAGATAATCTTTTTATCTAGCCTCAAAACTAGCAGCGAAATAGCTCGTCCTGCAGACCGTTTTGTGGTCTGTGGTTGCAGAATACGTCGTCACCGCTTACGCCATTACTGGCAGGCCTATCATAACATACACTGTGATCATAACCTCCAATTTTTCCTTGTTCAGACTGTGTAGGATTGATATTGAAAAGGTATTGAAAGACTGCTGATGAGATGATACCAGCACTGTGCTTGGACAAATCTACATAGGTAAATAGACCAGGGAGTCGTTTCTCCCCTTCCATCTTGCATTGGGCCCCTGATGAGTAGGGATGTCAACGATAAGTCAGTGTCCAGTGTTTGTGTAAATGTGATTTTCAATGTTAATCATATCCATTGATTCGGCCATCATGGCTCGTCTCAAAAGTTCAGTTTTTAGCAGCGTCGACCACTCGCGCATTGCGGCGCTGTAAGTGTACTACATGCATGCGATGCTCAGTATATCATTCCCCGCGGTTATTGGTGCAGCCTCTACCATTAAACCGGATGCAGTCTGTAGGCTGGATGAGCCGTGCGTGGTACACTCTCAGATGTTACACATTTTGACATGTATTCGTGCAATGCTTCCGTAGCAACACCATGGCTTACAAGATCAGCAGGCACAGACCAGGTTACAGGCATTTATGATTAGGCAAATAAGTGAAAAGTAATTGTACGACTCTATATGTAGTGTGCATCGTACAACGTACATATACCGTTTTCCCAACTGTGCAATTATAGTTAATGTAATCAATAGCTAGCCTAGCATCTGGTACGATTCAACCAAAGCATCCTTTTTATTCCCGCGTTGCTCATGGATCGTACATAGTTTCACGGTGATGCGATAAAAGCGGTGAATAAGTTGATTTTGTGCAGCTTGTTGTATACCAAGGCGAAGAACGGTCGGTCAACGAGGAACTCATCCGGCGGATTGAGGGGCACACTCTCCCATATGTAGAGGACGGCTCCGGCTCCCGCGGCCTCTGTGCCATTTTCATTGACTTCCATAAACACCTTATGAATGACGGAACCAACATATATACCGTTACGTTGTTCATAAAGGCCACTGAGGTCTGGTGAGTGAAATATTTCTCGAATGCCAGTCTGTTCTAAAGCTTCATTCAAAGTATAACTGGAACGCAGGGTAAAGCGGGGCATCTTGATGTCCATGGTGCCAAAAGGAGCATACATGCGCTCCACTAAACCATCGACATCAATCTGATCGAAGGAATCACGGAGTGCGGCAACCGCGTCCATGCTTCTGTTGACCGGTCTAATTATGATCATGCAGTATTGGTCGTCGGCGTATGGCAGTGACATTGCGTCATAGGACCCCATATTCGTGTAAGGGAAGTTTGTTTCCGTTAATTTCATCATATCCACTGATTTTTCTCCATTGATTGTGAGAAAAGACCCTTTGCCGTCCGGCTGAAATGCATCTTTCCAGTTTCCTTTGAAGTACAGGGCGCTTACCAAAACCAATGACGTTCTTTCCAGCTGTTTCTCCGAAACCAGCGACGGAATGCGGTTGTTGGTTACATTGGCTACGTCGCTATTTATCTCATCTGCTGCTTCTTTTGCATAGGAAAAATATGAGACACCACTGGCGCCGTAGTAAGTTGTAAGGAGGTCAATGAAGGATTGTTTGATAGGCCACCCCTCCCTGACATACATCTTGCTGAAAACTGACGTGGTGATGTGACTCGAATTTGCTGGAGTCGAGATGTAGTTGATGGCTGATTGGTACGCGGTTAGAAACGATTCCGGTGCCGGCTGAGTCACTCCCAACGCAGAGGTTATCTGTAAACAAATGACAACCGTAAATAATAAGTAATTGTGCGCTTTGTCTGCGTCATGTCATGTCATGTCATGTCACCTATTTCAGAGTAAACTGTCAGGTGTAGTAGATAGCTGTTTGGTGTCCTGGTCTCTATCGCGTGCTTTAATGACAGTTCGCATACAAGTAACGTAAGTAATTTGTGTGAGCTAGTTAGTATGCACCTATGTATGTATGCATGTATGTATGTATGTATGTATGTATGTATGTATGTATGTATGTATGTATGTATGTATGTATGTATGTATGTATGTATGTATGTATGTATGTATGTATGTATGTATGTATGTATGTATGTGTGTATTGACATAATCTGACCAATCCACACTAGATGGCTATTCTTAGGCCTTTGTCATACACTAGAACGACATGATGTACACATAACATCTAAAATTCCCATGAAATATAAAACAGTTCAAACACACTATACGATCATCACGATAAAAGTGGCCTACATTGACAAACTAATGCCTTGACGCGCTTAAGTCTGCGTGGTAATATGAATATCGCCGCGTCTATCATATTTAGGTTCTTTTGTACAAGTGGCCAGAACGGTAGGCAATTGATCTTTTCCCATGGTTGTGCTCGAGATGCTCAAGATACATGCCTAGGTATTATTTGATTGCCGTGTCACACAATCAATAATTTAGCCTAATAGCTTAATTTGTAATTCAGCTCAATAATAGTTAGCTTCTTCATTTCTTTTGCAATAATCGTTACTTTTAAACTTTTGTTTTTGGTAGAAGGGCTATCATTTAATTGAATTATGACTTATACCTTAAGACAAGTTGTAAAAATTGATTACACGCATGAATAACACACAAACGTACAAAAAGTACACATTTAGGTATATTACGTAATTATGTCGTCCATGCCGCGGTGAAGTCCCGGTTATCACCCACCTCTCTCCTGGCGGATCCACCAGCCGAGAGCCAGACCTGTGACATGAGCGTGGAGACGACGAACGGGGAGACGGCCTGGTTTTTACCCAGATCTTTGGTCAACTCCTTAACCAGCTTGAGATCAAGACCATTCGGCACGGCGCCAAATGCAGTCGTCACTGAGAAGGCCAGCAGAAGCCAAGTTGATCCTGAAAAAGCAAAGTTTATCTTCTTACTTGCAAGTTGCAAGATTATGCATCGACATTTTAAGGAACAGCGTTGTCTTACAAAAGTGTTATTCGTTTTTCGTCGAATCAAATTACTATTGCCTACAAAATGCAAAGAGCATGAAGTATGTATATTAGACTTACCATGTCTCAAACCACGTGCTGTCATTGTTTCCTGCAAATCTATTTAAAAAAGGGACTGTTTTGCCAATACGAACTCACAACTGATGCTTACAGCCTGCAGACCAGCGGGCAACTGATGCATATTGTTAGTGTGATGAACACATATACCCCAGTGTTCGGTGTGGGGGAGGGTATGTGTATAGCTCCGGCTGGCACCGTTTCCAAGCTGACGAAATTCGTGACTCAGCACCGTTCACCCCTATACTTTCTGCGAGGGACGGATCCTGTGGCCACTGAGAGGGCACCGAAAGAGCGCAGCGGGAGGTGCAACTCACAGCGGACGTCTTTCCTTTTTGCGTCTCCAAATATTTGCTCAATTGCAAATGCGTTTCGTACTGATAACGATACTTCTCAAATTGGATGATAAAGCATACCTCTCAAAGATCGGGACAGGGCCTATCGCGACCAGTCAGGACATGATGGGTACATCAATTTATTATTGAGCTTAGATATTATGTTGACATATAAAGATATTGGCATCAATTTTTAGTCAGGCGTTCGCCGGGAGCCTCGCTCTAAACGTTGATGGTGCATTATCCCGCGCCCCGCTAGGCTCTTCAGCCATACGCGCCCTGCTGGGGGGGGGGGCGGGGGGGGGGGGGGGGGGGGCAGATTCTGCCCCCTGTCTAACTTCCGAACCGATGATCGTAGAAAGACGGGAAAAACGGCAATCGAAAGCTCTCAACAAGGTGGATCTTCAGAACCCAAAGTTTTTTGCTTAAGTAGGTCAGAGGTCAGGTCAAGGTCAGGTCAAGGGTACAAAATGCAAGTTTCTACAGTATCGGCCTTGCACCGTAGTTGCCGAAGAATGGACTGAGACTGATTGCCCAAAACGTGTTCTTAGGCCACCAACACAATATTCGTTGCATACAATATCATGCAAAGGTCAAGGTCAAGGTCAGGTCAGGTCACCAAAAACGAAACATAAAAAGGGCTTGTGGGACACATGTTTTATGGGTCATTTTATTCATAGAATTCAATAGGCACACTCAATAAGTGATATGGACCACATCTGGATGAATTTCAGGTCGAGATCAGGTCAAGGTCAGGTCAAGTGAGGTCAAATTTTGAAGTTGGTTGTTAAGGCCTAAAAAGGTGTCTATCTGATGCAGTTTTCCACGGCGAATCGAATGGTGCTATTTTTTGTTTCCGTACGAAGTCTAGAACTTCCAAAAAATACATTTGTCGAAAATTTTGTGTGTCGTGACGTCATAAAATTTTGAATAACTCCCACATTTTTGAACCGATTCTTCTAAAAATTTGTATGTAGGTGCATATAGACCAGTTCTCTGACATATATTCGTTTTTTATACACTCAAAATTTGAATTTTATAATTATTTCCCCAAAAAAGTCAGTTTTTTTAAAAAATTGGGCCGAAGTCCAACATTTTCACAAAACCGAGATAGCCATTTGATAGACAAAGTAGAATCACGTATAAGCTTTTTGTTACGTCTTGATTTCTTTAAAAATGAAAATGTTAGCGGCGTTTGAAACTTTGCCGTTTTTTTAGGCGAAAATTGCGAACATGACGTCAGTAAAACGTCATTTTCTCAAAAAAATTCCGACGGATTTCGCTCAAATTTTCAGGGAACGTGTCAAATTGATGTATGATAAGGTACAGACAGTTTGACGTCGCTGGCGTAACGCGTTTAGAAGTAATTGGCGAAAAACGGGAGGGAGGGGGCAGATTCTGCCCCCCCCCCCCGGAGCGGAGCGCGGGTTATGTCTCTATCCATTATATCTCAACTGGCTCATGAATTTCTAATGAATCAAATTGAGACCTGTGTTTCAAATGCAGCCTGCTTTTCAACTTTCCAGACATTAAATTCGAAATTCAGCTTTTGTTAGCAGTTCCTATATGTATTTCGATGAATCAGGTGTCGATAAAAAACGAAGTATAAAGTACACACATTGAAAGGAACACCGCTGGATTCTCTCGATATAATGAAATATTGACAGGCATTAGAGCAAGCTCACCTGCTGCTGCATCAGCCTCAGGTCGAGTCCTTTAGGCACCATGCAAGATACTGGCATTGTCGCTATGATGAGAACAGTCCATGCTAAGCCTGAAACCATTGGGTAGTGTCGCCTTTTGCATGAGTAATTAAACGGTGTCTTTGCACAGATGTAATAAAAATTCATTGCAATGCAATCATCACAATTCATTAATTTTTCAAGAAAGGAAATTTATGACCAGTTTATGTACTAACTGCACATCGGTCTCATGCTCCTATTGAAGATCCTCACGCTTAGCGCGGAGCTCCTTTTACGTCATTCACTAGCACCCGGATGTCTGAGTGTTCAAGGCACTGAGATTTGGGTTTGCCGGACCCATGACGCAGTGTACGAGTGCTGTTGTTGATATGCAGCTGTCAAAAGAGGGTATACACAAAAAGTTGCTGTAAATGACTCCTGGCCCGTATGATGAAGTCCTGCCTACTGTTTTGTAAAAATTAGTGCTGAGGCATAGGTAATAAAAGGTAAATCAGTTTTTTGTTTGCTAAGGAGATAAAACTATATATTATTGCATACGGGCGGAAATATGGCCCGCCGGGCCTAGCTTATGTTTGAATTTATACCGACGTTTACATTGACTGAATTATGCATAGCATCACTGAGGATATAATTTCAAATGCGCCTTTATTTTCGAAGCTTAAAAAGGTGCGCTCCAGTAGTTAGAAGAGTATCTACTTATATAGATTTGATGATGTTTTTCGTAGTTTCATGCAACACCTTGCAATTATTGCAAGGATTTAAACAATCATTTTATGCAAAGCGAATTTTCTTAAAGCTAGGTAATTCTGTTACCTAGCTTTTAATATTGAACTTTACCTAGCTTTACCTATCCTGGCTTTACCTAGCTATTACCTAGCTTTTAATAGTGAACCGGCATCCGATGCAGATTAAGGTGGAGAACCAGCGACGCCGCTCACGGGAGGTGATGTTGTATACGGCCGGGGCTGCCTATTTTCTCATCAAGGTGATGCTCTGGATCAAGATTACTTTACTACTCCTCTGGATGGGATTGGGAAGGATGTGACGTGAAGGACGTTAGACGGTGACGTGAGTGACGGTGAGGATATGTGAAGAGGCTGGACGGGCTGTTGTTTCAGTGGGGTACTAAATGAGAGCGTATCGAAATGAGACAGTCAGATCTTCTGTATCGTCTGTATATTTTTGAGACAGTCAGTATCGTCTGTATCACATGATGTTTGATCAGCAGTTCGGAAATGAAGTAGAAATGTCGCGTTAAAAATAAAGAAACCTGCGTCATTTCTCACCGACTAAAGCTCTGTCGGGGTATGTCAAGAATCCAGTCAAATCTGTGACGTCATCAGCACATGCTTCATTCGGAATCCCTATCGGAGCCAGCCACCTCAGCGCACATTCCGAAACAGCTACCGGAGCACAGCCAGGAATGTTCGCCTCCCGGTGACGTCATAGGTGTCGGTGACGTCAGTAGAGGTCATCGTCGCCGACGGACGAATCTGCGCTTCGACAGTCGCCGCGGAGACGCGCTGTGTCGCGCACAATACCGGTGGTAGCTGGCGCGGCACGAGTGACAGTGAAGACGAGATAGCGCCCGTTATTGGGACGCCAGGAGTTGAACAGGTGGGTGGAGGGAGTCGCAGTGCTCTGACGAGATAACGCCCTTTACTGGGACGCCAGGAGTTGAACAGGTGGGTGGAGGGAGTCGCAGTGCTCTGACGAGATAACGCCCGTTACTGGGACGCCAGGAGTTGAACAGGTGGGTGCGGAGGAGAGCCTCAATGCTCGCTACCATTGGATGGGTGCTGATTTTCTGCTGTGACTTCGGACGTCAGAAGTCAGAAAGGTTAGTGAGCTTGAGTGTAGGATTTACAGCTGTGTACGATTTACGTATTTGTAGCTGTATTACTGTGCCTAGCTCTAAAACGTTATGCGCTTTGATTTTATGAGCAGTGCTATGGGCTTATGGCTGCTAAGGTTCTTATCCATACTTGGTGCATAACTTGAGCTTTAGTGTTTTGAGCCAAAAGATTCGGCCATTCCATTTACGAAAGCTTATGTTTAGAGGGTTGACCATCTCAAATTAATGACAGATGATTCTGTTCTCAATCTCTTTCCATATTTTCTAATGAATGAGTGGACGTAACAGGGCAGGCTATTAGAACGTTATGAGTTCGTGAAGAAATATATTTTTATGTAATCCCGTGTGTGTCTTTTGCCTTTTATATATTTCGACTCGTCGCCATAAAACACCTCATCTACGCATTTTACAGATCCTCAGCGAGCACAAGAACCTGTGACGTCATAGGGGTGACAAAACGGTGACGTCATCATGTCTTCGTCACGGAAAATCCGCCTGTTCTCGGATGTCGGCGCCAAGATGTCCATGTTCGACCAGCGAGCCAAGGAACACCGCGACAGCCAGATGATCAACCCGTTCAGCGAGTGGGGAGGCGCCGGCACCCGGCGGAAACTCTCCAGAGAGGACCCCAACTATGGAAGGTGTGTCTCGCGCCGGGATGAGGAAGGATGAGGGAGTATCTGCTTAGGGGGCTGCAAAATCATACGTCATACGGATCAGTTACTACCGACAAAGGTAGCAATGAATAATGCGATGGGTCGGCCTTCGACCCTTGCCTATCCTCTAATTTATGTAAGAGAATGATTGGCTGAGGGGTTTGCAAAGCATAAAATCGACTATTAGGACATATATTTAATTGCAACTATGATATACAAGATCATATACCTCTGTATACCGATACAGAGGTCTATGACAAAATTGAAATCTCTCCTCATGTGCAGTGTGCACCCTGATACGCATTTAGCAGCCGTCTGAGCGCGCCCTGTTCACTCCTCAGGCCGGTGGAGGGCAGCAAGACGGCCGAGCGGGGGCGGCTGGCGCAGATTCAGATGATCGGAGACATGGTGGAGCTGTGTGACATGATCTACGACTGCGGCATCCGCTCCAAGGACGGCAGGGCCGCCATCAGCTTCGGCGACGCCTTCAGGGTCAGTGCACTGTCATAGCATTGGGCTAACACACATCGACCTATCCATACTCGTCGGGTTTCTATCCGTGAATGGTTCAGTATAAAGCATACTTGGCCCTCGTGCTCCCCTGTGTTCATAATAAACCGACATATCCAGGAATGTTTTATCCATGGAATTGCATCGATTCCATTTGCTGGCTAGGAGGGTGTTTCTGAGGGCAACGAAGCACCCTCGTGTATTTTTTTATCCGTTATCTAATGGGATAACGTTGTCTGGCTTTTTTAACATATCGAGCTAATTCATTTTGTCTCTTTTGCTTACATCCAATATCTCTTTTTCAGTTGTACAGCTCGATCAACGACAAAGTCGTCGGACTGCTCATGCGGGGAAGGAAACACAAGATTCTAGACTTCGAGGGTGAAATGCTGTTCCAGGTAAGAACTCCCAACTCCTTGACTCACGTCGACGAATACGATTCGTTGGGATGGCTAATGACAAAACATCTGCATATAACTTAAATGATATCCAAATGGCGGTCACACTGACGTCGTATTGGCCTGAAAAAACACAATTTTCAATGGCGACACAGCCATGTCTCGCCGACGTCCCCTGTCTGGCTATTATGATGGCTTGGCGTCGATACTCTGTCAGTGTATTTATATCCGAGAACGCGGGGAATCCGTCGGGCGCATAGTGTCACCCAGAGGGCGGCGCCGGCGAAACGTCATCCACGTCACATGAAGGTCACCGACGACTCCCGATGAAGATAGCCTGAACGTGGGTCGCTGAATTAGGAAGCTGGTTATCGTGTGAAGGCTAAATCTAGACACAGTTAGGCTAAAGATGTCTGATGATGGTATAGCTGCCAACTCATCTAAAGTTTGCGGGCTGAATTAGGGAGTAGAGACTTCCCTGAAAAGCACAGTTTGACCAATGGACTGAAATTAAGTTCCTAAACCGTGCGCATTTTCTTTGACAGGGCCGCGACGACCACAAGATGATCGAGCTGCTGCTGCCGCTGAACACGATCCGCCACAAGTACGGGATGCCGGAACGGGCCGGCTGCGGCGAGGTCGACCACGAGCTGCTGCAGCTGCTTGCCGAACAGGACCGCAAGCAGAAACAGCAGCGCAAGCAGCAGCGCACGCGGTCGGTGGGCGTGCCGCCGCTGGCCCCGCCTCCCGCACGTCACCAGAAGAGCCGCTCTGTCGACAATGGACGGAGGAGTGATGAGGACGGCACGGAGGAGGTGGTGGTGAGAGGCGCGCGGAGGAAGACGGAGGCGAGGAGCCGGGTGGAGAGCGGCAAAAGTGGAGGAGGTGCCGAGGCGGGAGGAAGAGCAAGTGAGGGGGCACTGGGAAGCGAGCAGGGCGCTGCTGAAGGGCAGGCGGTGGGGCAGGAGGTTGAAGGAGCCACTGCTGCTGATGCTGCTGTAGGCGTAGCTGCTGCTATAGCCGACACTTCAGCTGAAGGAAGACTGCAGCAGGGACATCAAGAAGCTCCTATCACTGTTAACGGCGCGGAGGGAGGTCAATATGCCACATTTGGTTCAGCAGGCATGGATGAAGGTCAAGATATGCCGTCGATCCTCAGCGCACTTCTGGGTGACCAAGGAGTGGCACTTCTTTCCAACATGTCTGACACAATGGCTACAACGTCAAGCATAGACGCAGATCCACAGCAGTGTGACGAGTTGGTCCACTCAGACGAGTCCCGCCTGCCCGAGATCAGGGTCAGCCAAGGTCACGACGTGTCGACGGTGCCAACTTCCGCTGACAGCCCGACGGCGCCGGCCGAGACGACGCCGACGGCTGAGACCGAGTGCGCCTCGGCCGTCGGGCGCGACCAAGGCCAGGGGCACATGTCCGGCGCCGGCACCTCTGACCTCCCGGGGTCGGTGGACAGCGTGACAGCGGGGGATGCTGCGGCGGTTCAGGGCTCCTGTCCGGCGCAACATGAGGGAAGCGCTATGGGAGAGGGAAGCGATGAAATTGTGAGAGAAGGGGAGAACGTTGTAACAGAGGGAGAGGGAGAGACGTGTGGAGCCAAAGAGGACGATGGAAGCGCAACCATGAAGACAGGTGGGCACACATGCACAGAGGGAGAGGCGAACTCACAGTCAGAGATGGTGCCACAGTCAGCGATAGCTTACCCTGACTCAGAATCAAAGCCGGAGTCGGAGTCACAGAAAGAATCAGAACCGAAGACAGATACAAGCTGCGATCTTCATGGGAACCTGAAGGCTAATATGACACCAGAGCCAAGTGCCGAGCCAGCGGGTGGACCGCAGCAGAAACTAGAGTCAGAGTCAAGTGAAGGACCTGAGTCAAACCCAGAGCGGATCCCGAGCTCAGCCACGCAGATAACCGCAGAGCCAGAGGAAATCAAAGAGCCAGAGCTGGGCGCAGAAAATGCAGCTCAGGCGACACCGCTTTCAGCGCTGGCGTCGGAGCCGGAGCCGAATTCGGAGCCAGCTTCGGCCAGCGCCCCGGTTCCCCCGGCATTTGACGCCGTTTGACCTCGGCCAGGGGGAGCAGCAGCCAGGGGCAGGGGCTGTCAGTTCGTGTCCGGCGCGGCGCACGTGGCCAGACTGGTGCTCAAATATCGGCGACAGTTGGAGCGTTCCATCCATCCCGGTCACCCGTCCTCACTGACAGGTATGCCGCTATGACCGCGGCCGCCGCTGTCTTCAGGCCGTCTCATACCTTCTCAGGGATAAAGTGCGCTTGTGTAATGTAATGGAAGCTGTGACATAGTGAAATAGCTTCGTCGTATCGTGTTAGGGTATTGTATTGTATTGACAATTAAAACACTCTCCATATGAAAATAGCTAGGTATATAGGTATAGGCTATAGGGGCTGTATTACGTAACAGAATGTAACCCTGTATTGCAACCCTGTGTCAACAATAATAGCGTAGGTAGATCAAAAAATTAGGTGCATGTTGAATAAACCGATATATTATTTACTTGAAACAGGGATGCCACATTCACACAAACATAGCCAATGCCTTGTATGTATTTTTGCATGTGAGTTGTAAATGTTAATTACATCGATGTAATGAGTGTAGTCAGAATACATGTTTGGTTGAATGATTGGATTGCCTTATGCAAATAGATTGTGACACCTATGACTTGCAAGTAGCTAATCAGTAGATGTTTTTCGCCACAGTACTCCTGCGTTCTCAGATTAGCTGACTGTTAATAATTGTTTCTTCACTTTCACAAAATCAAATCAATATTCTCCCTCTCCATTCTCTCTCCCCAACCCTCCCACCACCTGAATCTCTCTCTCTCTCTCTCTCTCTCTCTCTCTCTCTCTCTCTCTCTCTCTCTCTCTCTCTCTCTCTCTCTCTCCCCTCTCCACCAACACATCTCGTTGAGGATAAATTATGTCAGTGGATGGATATGAAACTTCCTCTGCATCGGTAAACAAGTATTAGTTGAAAAGTGGAATCTTGATATTTATTATTTTTGGAAAGTGCTAGATTATTTGTGACATTTAGGTACCTACCATGTAGGTAATGCAGCTTATACCGTCACATTCGGATGGATCTTTATTCAATTGTCTGTGAATATGTAATACCCATCTATAGATATGAAATGAATAAATGCCTTATCATCCTTTACCCTCAAGATGTCTGATTGTAATAAGGTGACGCAACACATACATAAAAAAACTTGTCAGCGAGATATCGGCGATAATTTAAATCAAGATTCCAGGGATTCGTGTTGATAGACTGGCCACCTATAGTTTCTTACGTAACACCTGAACACTTTTCGAGGCCCGTTGGACAGCTACTACCCTCATTGGCCAAGTGTCTCCACGTGGCATCCGCTGGGCACCCACCAACTCCGCGCCGCAGTGTCGCCGGCCAGGTCAAGTGTCACCCTGAAGTCACGTGTGACTCCTCCTCATCCCCTCCCCCGAGTGCCCCCTCGCCTCTCCCCTCCCCCACGGTGGGCGGGCTAGGGACGGCGGTCTCGGCATTCCTCTAAGATTTTTGTGACGTCACACAGAGTCGTTTGACGTCACAAGTTTGTCACCGGCATTGATCACGTGATCGGCAGCTGACAGGATCACAGGATACTGCGCAGTGGTGGTGGAGGGGTCGGGGTAAAAAGCGTGAAGTTACTTACGCAGCTTATGAACATAAGTTAACCCTATTCCTGGCGGGGGGGGGGGGGCCTCAGGAGCCCCCCCGAGGTTTTTTGGCTATTTCTCCCAAACGCGTTGAGCTAGGAAGCTCAAATTTTCTGACTTTTCCTAAAAGGCTTCTACGCAACATGTCTGAAAATTTTGAGTTGATCTGACCTCAGGTCAGGTCACCAGAGGCGGTTTGGTGACCCTACCTCAGAAAAGTTTGCAATCACGCCAGAGCTAGAGTTTTTGACCGATCAATTTCTTCTCTTCAGGCTTTAGTAAGGGTACCAGTATGTGCAATTTGTATATCTCGGAATTTTGATATCGGTGACCTAAGGTCAGGTCAGTTTCGCGACCTCCCCATTATAAGTCAATGGGGGAAAAATCAACTCCCTGTTTTTACCACTAAAACGGGTCGGAATGGCCCCATATACCATACATGACTTCATATACGATCAACCTTCACTACCTTGAGGTCTGTTTTGCTGTTGGGCAGCTGTGAGGTCATGTGACGTCATCAAAGGTCACCAAAGGTTTTTGGCCAATAACTCCGTACAGGAACAAGATACAGACGCGTGGATGGTCTCATTGTGTTCAGCTCGTCAAGACGCATCGAATGATATACATGATGACCTCGAGGTCACGTGACCTGAGGTCAACCTTTGACCTTGACCTTGCGAGGTCAACATATATATCATTCGATGCGGATTGACGAGAGGATCACGATGATGCCCTTAGTTTGTTCCTATCTTGACTAATTCGAAAGTTATTCGAGAGAAACTCTCCATATCTAGCGCCGCCATTTTGACTTTTTCGACCCCTGTGACGTCATCTTTGACCTGACCTGAAAATGACCTTAGTAAAAATTGTAGATCTTGGCCGTGCGTATCCGATGCCGTTTACCGTTTGTCGCTATCTTGCTTCGTTCTCGAGATCTCAGGGGGGGGGGCCGAATCGGCCCCCCCGCCAGTTTCTTGTCCCGGCGGAGCCCGCCAGGAATAGGGTTAAAATAGGGCGTGACATTTCTACGAGGCTCATTGAAATTATTGAATTAAGGCTTGTGTATGCCTATTGATCGCTGAAGCTTTTGCAAATCCTTTCGAAGTTAAAAACAGTTTTTCTATCTCTTATTCAACGGACAAACGAACCCGCGCCGTGCTGGGGGGGGCGTTTTTACGCCCCCCCCCTCAGGTTTTTCGCGAATATCTCAAAAACGGCGGCGCGCAGCGCCGCCGTTTTTGGTACACGTGTTCCTACATCATTTCCGCACATGTTGTGAAAATTTCAGACCTAGGCCGTTCAAGGTCAGGTCACCAGGTCACGTCAAGTGACCTTACCTCAGAAAAAGTTCAAAGGCTCGCTATAGCTACACCGACTGAACGATCACTTTGAAACTTTCAGCGATTGATATGAGTAACAGTATGTATAAAATGTATATCTCGGATTTTTGATATCTGTGACCTAAGGTCAGGTCAATTTTGCGACCTCTCCATTATAAGTCAATGGGAGAAAATTGAAATGCGCTTCTTTTGGACGAATATCGTTCAAAACGCTCTCAAACATCGGTTCATAGGTAAACATGACACACTGAATAGGAAAAATGCACCTGTGACCCCTCTGTGTGCCCCTGAGGTCATCTCAGGTCATGAACGGTCGCCAGCAGTTTTTTGGCTATAACTTTTGATAGAGACGTGCTAGAGCGGTGAAAACACGTCAGATGTGTTCAGCTCGACGATACGGATCGACTGATATGCAACATGACCCTTTTCGGTCAGGTCATGACCTTGACCTGAGGTCAAATTTTCAAAATGACCTTTCAAGGTCAACGAATAGTTCATTCGACGCGTCTCGACGAGAGGAACACGATGCTGGCAAAAGTAATGTCATGGCGCTTATGAGTCAAAAGTTATTGACGAAAAAACGTTTTTCGTAAAAACGGCTATTTTTGGAGTTTTTGCCCTCTGGAGGCTAAACCGTTGACCTGAGGTCAAATCTGAGAACATTACTCAGAAAGGTCTGTAAAAGGACTATCGAATGCGCTTTTCCGCGGCGCTGTAGCTCTATCGGTTCCCGAGATAGCCGTTGGCAGTTTCCAAAATGTTGAAATAGTCAACATTTTACCTTTGGTGACCTCTGGTGACCTGACCTTTGACCTGACCCAAAAATGACCGAAGTGTTTTCGTCCTTATTTTTGACGCTCTTTCGATTGCCGCTTACCGCGTGTCGCTACGTGGCCCAGGAGCCGAGTTAGACGGGGGGGCGTGAAAACGCCCCCCCCCCCCAGCACTCGGCGGAAAGTTCAGGCCACCAGCACGGCGCGGGTTAACGCAACTTAGTTCAGTCCAATTGCAATGGTAGGTAAACATCGGGCTTATCGGATCCATGGAAGCCCCAAAAGATAGGCATATCAATCACTTTTAACTTCGCCGATCTTTATCTCAAACTATGTGTTCCCAAGTGTTTCACTGAAATTTTGGGTTTTACCTATCGTTTATCAGGTATGTTTGAATCAAGCAAAGCTCGAAATATGGGCATATCTAAGCCAACCTGGCTTCACTTTCTACCTAACCTATAATTGCACTTCACAATGCAGCAATAGATTTTGAAGTGCAATCAAACATCACCATGAGGTTACAGTTGTATGCATATAAACGACGCAGTTGTATGCATATAAACAACTGTACACGGCGTATAAATCAGGGGAGGTATGAATCAGCGGGGAAGTGGCCTCCCAGTTCCTACCCCTTCCACTCATACATAATACATATACACGTGCACAGCTTTAACCCGCGCCCCGCTGGGGGGGGCAGAATCTGCCCCCCCTCCCGTTTTTCGCCAATAACTTCTAAACGCGTTACGCCAGCGACGTCAAACTTTCGGTACCTTATCATACATCAATTTGACACGTTCCCTGAAAATTTGAGCGAAATCCGTCGGAAAATTTTTGAGAAATTGACGTTTTAGTGACGTCATGTTCGCCATTTTCGCCTCAAAAACGGCAAAATTTCAAACGCCGCCAACATCTTCATTTTTAAAGGAATCAAGACGTAACAAAAAAGGTTATGCGTGATTTCACTTTGTCTATCAAATGGCTATCTCGGTTTTTTGAAAATTTTGGATTTTGACCCAAATTTTTCCAAAAAACTGACTTTTTTTGGAAAATTATTATAAAATCCAAAATTTTGAGTGTATCGAAAAAACCGGAATATATGTCAGAGAAGTAGTCTATGTGCACCTATATACCAATTTTTAGAAGAATCGGTTCAAAAATGTGGGAGTTATTCAAAATTTTATGACGTCACGACACACAAAAATTTTGAAAAATGATTTTTTTGGAAGTTCTAGACCTCGTACGGAAACAAAAATAGCACCATTCGATTAGCCGTGAAAAACTGCATCAGATAGACACCTTTTTAGGCCTTAACAACCAACTTCAAAATTTGACCTCACTTGACCTGACCTTGACCTGACCTCGACCTGAAATTCATCCAGAGGTGGTCCATATCACTTATTGAGTGTGCCCATTGAATTCTATGAATAAAATGACCCATAAAACATGTGTCGCACATGCCCTTTTCTATATTTTGTTTTTGGTGACCTGACCTGACCTGACCTGACCTTGACCTTGACCTTTAAATGACATTGTATGCAACAAATATTGTCTTGGTAGTCTAAGAACACGTTTTGGGCAATCAGTCTCAGTCCAATCTCCGGCAACTACGGTGCAAGGCCGATACTGTAGAAACTTACATTTTGTACCCTTGACCTGACCTTGACCTGACCTCTGACCTACTTAAGCAAAAAAATTTGGGCTCTTTAGATCCGCCTTGTTGAGAGCTTTCGATTGCCGTTTTCCCCGTCTTTCTACGACCATCGGTTCGGAAGTTAGACAGGGGGGGCAGAATCTGCCCCCCCCCCCCCCCCAGCAGGGCGCGTATGGCTGAACAGCCCAGCGGGGCGCGGGTTAAAAGACTTTCACCCTCGGCGTCTTTTGCCGTTTGCATTCATAGCAAGGTTTCAGTTACCTAGGCAAATAAAATCATGTGAAAAAGATACATTTTCCCTACACTTACGTAAAGATCCAGGACTACTTAGTATCCGCATTTTTTGTTTTTTGTTTTGTTGGGTTAGGCCCTTTCGGTCCAATGAGACCATTTCAGAGCCGGGAGGATGATAGGATATAGGGGGAGACATTGGTCTGGGCAGGCACCCTAGTGAGTCGCCGGGGCTGAGCCCGTCCAGAGTACAGGCCACCCAGCCCCAAGGCACTCACTGCACCCGGCTACGGGGTGCGCTCCCTCGGGAGCAGCGGTGCCGCTCCAAGGGAGCAGCCCGCATGAGATAAAGTTGCCTGTCCATCCCGGAGGAGGGTTGCGGCATGGAGGAAAAGGATTTCAGTATCCTGAGGATAGAAGCACGGAACGGTGATTATCCGCAAGGAACAGTGAACACTTCAAATGCAGATTGCCGGTGTGCCTACCGCTTAGTGAATTAAAGCAGCGTTATGGGGAATACGGGCGCCCACTGGCGGAAAATGTGTCCGACAAACACACTCCGTCTGGATAGAGGTCGCTGCAGACAAGTAAATCGGCGAGCGGTGGACGGTGGTGAATGCTAAGGTTGCGACTGAAGGATATGCTAGCGCTACATCTTCGGTGTCGAGTGATGGCCAAGAAGAGAGTGACACGGTTCAGGGGCGGATCCAGGATTTCCATAGGGTGTTAGCACAGGGGCGGCATATTTTCCGCCATTTCCGCCGTTAACCCGCGCGGGGCTGGGGTCTCCAGCCGAACGCGCGGGGCTGGAGGTGGGTAAATTTTACCCCCCCCCCCCTGTTATCTCCCGAACTAATGGTTCGATTTGGAAAATTCAAACGCCAATCGAAAGATCTCATCACGAACAACTAAAAACATGTACTTAATTTAAAGTTTGAGCCTTGAGGTCAAGGTCAAGGTCAGGTCAAGGGTACAAAGTGCAAGTTTCTACAGTATCGGCCTTGCACCGTAGTTGCCGAAGAATGGACTGAGACTGATTGCCCAAAACGTGTTCTTAGGCTACCAAGACAATATTCGCGGCATACAATATCATTCAGAGGTCAATGTCAAGGTCAGGTCAGGTCAGGTCAGGTCACCAAAAACAAAATATAGAAAAGGACATGTGCGACATATGCTTTATGGGTCATTTTATTCATAGAATTCAATGGGCACACTCAATAGGTGATATGGACCACATCTGGATGAATTTTAGGTCGAGGTCAGGTCAAGGTCAGGTCAAGTGAGGTCAAATTTTGAAGTTGGTTGTTAAGGCCTAAAAAGGTGTCTATCTGATGCAGTTTTTCACGGCGAATCGAATGGTGCTATTTTTGTTTCCGTACGAGGTCTAGAACTTCCAAAAAATTTATTTTCAAAATTTTTGTGTGTCGTGACGTCATGAAATTTTTAATAACTCCCACATTTTTCAACCGATTCTTCTAAAAATTGGTATGTAGGTGCATATAGACCACGTCTCTGACATATATTCCGTTTTTTTCGATACACTCACAATTTTTGATTTTATAATTATTTTCCCAAAAAAGTCAGTTTTTTGAAAAAGTTTGGCCAAAATCTAAACTTTTCAAAAAACCGAGATAGCCATTTGATAGAAAAAGTAGAAGTACGTATAACCTTTTTTGTTACGTCTTGATTCCTTTAAAAATGAAGATGTTAGCGGCGTTTGAAATTTTGCCGTTTTTGAGGCGAAAATGGCGAACATGACGTCACTAAAACATCAATTTCTCAAAAAATTTCCGACGGATTTCGCTCAAATTTTCAGGGAACGTGTCAAATTGATGTAAGAAAAGGTACTGAAAGTTTGGCGGCGCTGCGCGCCGTCGTTTTTGAGTTATTGCAAAAATTCGCGAGGGTGGGTAAAATATACCCCCCCAGTCCCGCGCGGGTTAATACGGGGCGGCATTCACTTTACTACGGGGGAGACACTTCGACGTGGAGGGCGGCACTCTGACTTCAGGGAGAGAAGTGACGTTATCTGAGGGTTAGATATAAATTCAGAAAGTTACTACAAGAGATCGTTATGAAATGAACTTTAAAAATGCGCATTTCCATAAAATGCACACAACCGTCTATTGAAAAAATGCCGCCCTCCGCCGCGGAGGGCGGCATTTTTTCGATAGACTAGGGGCTTTTGCCCCCAGAGGCCCCTGGATCCGTGCCTGACACGGGCAGCATTAGCATTGCAGACACTTATACACAGCTTGTGCACCTTGAATTATGGTTCTTCAATCTTTAAGATTGTTCAGGTAGCTGTTGGCTATGCTTAGTTCATGACTCAGGTTATCTGTACATGAAGAAATGGCCAGTATGTACCAACATGATCATGACTCATAAGCTAATGCTTCGTTGAATAACATCACACTGGACGTCATTAAGCGGGTGTTTTTTGTTTTGTGTTATGCAGCGATTCAAATGAGTCCAAAACAGTGTGTGCCGTGCGATGATAGGAAAGGCCGTTCACTTGTTAGCAGTAGGTACCTTGCAATTCATCGATATTATAGGTAATTGCTCAGGGAACACGTAGAGCCAATGTTGTTGTCGATTCCTGTAGGTCTCAGGGGATAGGCTGCCCCACTTTGTGTAAGCAAACACGTCCTGTGATGAAGCAACATGTCCCGGTAAACTAGCAACTGCGCGGCATTTGGTGGAAGAGCAGGGAAGGGTGAAGACCAGCAATATCAGGTCTACCTTTATGATCATCGAACTACCGCATCAAACAGCAAATGAAGGTGAGAATAAGGAATTCAGGCTATTCAGCAGACTTATTTTCCAGTCAAGTGCGAAAAAGAGGATCTTTAGGCACTTAATTCGTGCTCATTTCCATTGAAAAGGCCGGTTGATCAATTAACCCTTACGGCTCTGGTTTGTCGCCTAGTATTCCGAATTCCTTTGTGACACCGCAGCTATGTGTTTACTCTTTTTAGACGTCAAAAGGGACTTGTGAATACTGCATGCTTTTGAAGAGCTAATTTTTATCAGCACATATGTAATATTCATTAAAACGCTGAACAATAACAATATTCCTGGGGGAGGGGGGCCTAACAATATGCGACTATGATAAATGAGTCCGAGAATTTATCATAATCGGGCTGCTCGAATTGTCAATGATCTTCCAGTAAACCATCAATTAATCGTGAAATAATTCCGTTTCAGGAGCAATTGATGTTCCCCAGTATAAGAGGCCCCAGTCAATGCTTCTGGATATTCCAACCATGCAGCCGGCAGAATATTCCAAAAACAGCACTGGAGTGACCTGCGTGACGTCCTTTGTCAGAGGTCTGGACTGCTGCGTGCTGATTCGTCGGGCGGTGGTGCTGCTCCTGCTGACCGCCTGGGTCACCATGTCGGTGGTCAAGGTGCAGCAGCTGCTCTCGGAGCCGACCTCCACCAGCACCCACTGGGAGGAGGACAACCTGCTGCCCCACCTCACCATTTGTCCGGCAGCTACCATCAACACCACCGTCGCCACAATCATGAACAAAGGCACCGAAAAACAAAAAAGTGCACTGCTTGGCAACAAAACGCTGCTGGAGTTTTTCTGGACGGCGGGACTGAAGTTAGACGACATGCTGCACAACGTCGTGCCTACAGATTCTCCCGGAGAATATCGAGATTTCTTCGGAACTTCGTGGAAGGCATCGGTTCACTATTTATCAGGTGGGCTTTGCGCGACAGCGAAGCTTTCTTCGAAATCAGATCAACTGTGGTCGTTTATATTTTTGAAAATGCGGCCAGAGTTTATGTCGCAAGGGAAGGCTTTCGAGTTTTTATTACACGAGCCGGACACATTCTGGGGAGAGCCACTACCGCTCGCTCAAACATATGTCATCATGAACGACACACGTTTTGCGAGCATTGTTATAACGACCTACCGACAAGTGCGCCCCAGTCTGCGCCGCTCTCCGTGTGTGACAGATCCCGACTACAACCAGGCTACCTGCAAACGACACTGCTTCTTCGCTGATATGAACTGCACTCTGGAGCGTATTCACAACTCCGAGAAGAGGCTGTGCCTGGCAGCCGACTTTGGATACTTTAAGGCCTACAGACTTTTCAAGGGACTTCTCACCGCATCGGAAAGCAACTGCAGCTGCCCTGTATCCTGCGTCCGGGACAGGTACACTATATCTGCTCGGCCAGGCCAGGCACTGTTCAACAGCGACGTGGAGCTGCACATTCAGCCAGCGGGCATTCGGAAGGTACTGGAGACATCCATTTCATATACCATAACCGACCTGATGGCCGATATCGGCGGCTTTCTGGGTTTGTTTCTCGGCTGGTCCTTGCTGACATTGTGCGAGCTTGCACAGGATGGAGCGGGATGGGTGAAGGCCAGGTGCAGACGACAACCGAAACCCTCAAAATGGGCACATCATGTCTTGAGCATCCTTTTATGAAAACGCAAACAACCTACATAAAACGTTGGTATGGCAGTAGCTTCAGATGCAGTGGTAAGGGGGGGTGACAGACGGATCAAGGTCATCCATGGTCGGTGCTCGGCAGGTTGGTTGAGATGACCAATCCACAGCCACCTTATGAATTTCCAAAAATACCCCGAATAGTTTTCTTCCTTTATTTCTCAACAGGACCAAGCAAACAATCGATCGTACAGTATCAGTCTAACTCTAGCCCTCGCCGGCACAGGCCATTTTGAGTCCTTCGACGGCACAAGGGGGGGGGGGTTGGTACGACCCCCCCTCGCGTTTGGCCCCTGATCGAGCTAGAGATTCGCAGAAAAAAACGAGCGTGTTGCCCGTCACGAGAGGAAGCCGATGATACCCAATTTTAAGGTCCTAGGTCATCGGGTGACCTTCCAGGTCAGGTCAATGACCCGAAAACCGGGAAAATCGGGACCTGTTAGAAAGTCGTAAAGTGTGGCTGCCATGTGGTTTCCCGGGGTGCTGATCACGAATATCGAGTTAGTTTTGATCATAGATGGTCTTTAAGCATTTAGACCAGGTCGTGTCAGGTCAGGTCAGGTCAACCGGTAGGTTGTGACGGGTATTCGTAATACGTGTCAACCGCCTCGGACAGCTTCGTAACATGTTACGAAGACACCAAAACTACTTCGTAAATGTTCAAATGGCTGCTAAATTCGAATTCAGCTGCAAAAACTAGCCTAGAAACATGTAAAACTCGAAAAAGTGAACCGAGGTCACCCGAGGTCACCAAAGGTCAATGACCTGACCTGACCTTAAGGTGACCTTGACACTCACCCTAATGCATGGGAGCAACATCAAATCACATGTTTGAACGTTTGAAACCACGAAAAGCTTGCAAACGCGCGGCTAATGCGAGCCGACATGCGCCGAACCGCGATTTCGGCCAAACATGGTCACAGAAAAGAGGTCACAGGTCAAAGGTCATTGGGGTCAGGGTCATGAAATTTTCCGGGTAGGTGTAGAATTGATCAATGCGAGGGTACTGAAAGTTTCGTTGCGATCGGCCGCTTTGTACGTGAGTTATTCGCGAAAAACCTTAAGGGGGGGGTTGCATCAACCCCCCCCCCCCTGTGCCGGCGAGGGCTAGAGTAATGCATCGGTAATATTTTGATCCTCATCATACCTTTAAGACAATTATATACTTTATCATGGTCGGACTTTAGCTCCGTGGCACCGCATGGCAAGTTATCGCTCTGCAGTGCATCAAATCTTACAGGCCTAGGCCATAGCTTCACGGTACAGCATACCCAACAGGCTTCAGCCATTGCTCTGCGGTACAGCATATTCCACAGGCGTCAGCCATAGTTCTGCAGTACAGCATATCCCACAGGCGTCAGTCATAGCTCTGCGGTACAGCATACCCCACAGGCGTCAGCCATAGCTGATAGCTCTGCAGTACAGCATACCCCACAGGCGTCAGCCCTAGCTCTGCGGTACAGTATACCCCACGGGCGTCAGCAATAACTGCGGTACAGCATACCCTACAGGTGTTAAACAGAACACCACGACACAGTACTTACATATGATACCTATGTAGATATAGACATACACATGTTATCTATGTATGTACTTTATGTGCTTTATGTACATACTTATGTACTATATGTACTATGTACTATGTGCATACATGTAGGTATATAGCACAATCATAAGCTATAGCTCCGCGGAGGATACATACGGCATATGCCTATAAAGGTGTCAACCATTGTTGTACGGTGTAGCTCTTTTTAGGATACTTCTAAGAGATGTGGGAAAAATGTATCTCTATATGACACAAATATATGACATATGACACAAAAATTGATATAATATGACACATAAAATTGAATTATAATATGACACAAAAATTAACAATAAAACATATAGCAGCAAACACAAGCTTGTATCTCACGAGTGCCTACTGGCCCAACGACATCTTAGCCATTTCTCATTTCTTCAGTAAAATAATTTACAGACTTTCACCGACTAGTTATTTGTCTATACTTGGCCACTAGCCAGTGCACTCCACCACAGAACAGGTCAATCGAAGAAGCTCCTAGCCAGCGCAAGGTGTCACGAAAGATTTCGAAGAGCGAGAGCAGCGACCAGCCGAGGAACAGGCCCATAAAGCCCCCGAGATCGGCCAAAAAGTCGAAAATGTTGTACGAGATAGTCGTAGACAGCACGCTCCTGATACCTGCCGTGTGAATGTCCAATTCCATTCGGTCCCAAAAGTATGGCTGACCGGGGCTGGTGGATATAGTATAGCTGTCACGAATACAAGGCTGGGGACAGTTACACTTTTCAGAATAAGCTGGGAGAGAATTGTGCACTATTCCGTGATAGACGAGTTTTCTGTAATCTGCCACCGTGCAAAGTTCCATGTCAGATTCGTTGACTGTCTCGAAAGTACAATTCAGTTTGTTGAAAAAGCAGCGAAGCTCGCAGTCACCTTGGTCATATTCAGGATTGCCTTCACAAGGAGCCCTTTTTAAATTGATCCTAACCTCACGATATGTGGTAACCACGATCTGGTCATGACGAGAGTTGATATACTTTGAATACACTTGTTTCCGTGGAAATAGTTGACCCCAATACTTGGATCGTCCATGAACAATCAATATATAGGCCGGGCCATTGAATGTCGTAAACTCAGGCTGCCTCTGCAGAACGGGGCGGTACCATTGACTCTGTGACGCTGATGTCGCGCACAGTCCCCCATACGAGAAATGGACGGTAGGCCTCCACCTGCGCCCAAATATATCCAAGACCTCTCCAGTCACGTTAGTAGACCGAGCAGAGTAAAACATGTCGTCTAACTTCAGTCCCGACGTCCAGAAAAACTCCAGCAACGTATTGTTGCCAAGTAGGGCACTTTTCTGCTCTTCGGTGCCCTTGTTCATAATTGTGGCGACGGTGGTGTTGATGGTAGCTGCCGGACAAATGGTGAGGTGGGGCAGCAGGATGTCCTCCTCCCAGTGGGTGCTGGTGGAGGTCGGCTCCGCGAGCAGCTGCTGCACCTTGACCACCGACATGGTGACCCAGGCGGTCAGCAGAAGCAGCACCACCGCCCGACGAATCAGCACGCACCAGTCCCACCTCCTAGTACATAGCTTTGCGGCGGCCATCGCCGGTCCAATGATCTTAGATTTCTGCTCTGACGCGCCTTGGACTCTTCGTGTTTATAGCAGGAGCTCGTAAATAATGTTAGCGAACTATTCGACTATCTGAAATGAATGGAAAAGTTAGTCGGAATACCGGTATGGTATCGGTACCGGTACCGCCATGAGGAATGGCCCATGAAAACATGCACATACTTAAACGGTATTCTGTCCCACCTACATCATTTTTAGATATAACTGAGCAATAAACTGCCATTGAGAGCAAACCTGGGTGTTTAACGTTTCACTTTTTGTTTGAGAAATGTGTACTTGCTCTTGGTGTCCATTTACATTAGACATACCTATGAAAAGTACATGTGTGCATCACTCATAACTTTATACCTACCCAAACTTACCGGATCTTCCTTCTACGTCGCCTTTTCTGGTACTGAGCCGGCGCATAGGGCAATCACATATGTATGTGAGCCTTGCATGTCTCCTTACGCCATAATCCCTCAGCGATAATAGCTAATCTCGCATGCGCGATGACCGTATCAGCTTTGAGTTTATGTTTTCAGTAATTTCTTTAAGGCCAGGACCCAATCTATTTGCCACTGGCACGTTGATAGGGACTTGTGAAAGTTTTGCGTTTTTTTTATAAATTTAGTCCGAACCTTTTGATGGAAGGATTCACAAGGACAGAGCCACCGCTAAGCGAGGCTTGTTGCGGTGACCCTGCCCTCTACCCTCCGATCGCGCAATTCCAGTTCTATGGCAGAATTTAGAGTCCAAAGTTTAACGTGCGCACATAGCCGCGCACTGCCGGTCCCCTCACTGACTTCGCCTGGCTACGGCCTGCCACCAACCGCAACCATACCTGTCAGGAGGCCCATAAATGTCGAGCGCCCGTCGCGCTTCGAACCCGGACTGTTATAACCGGGAACGCGTGCTCTCACCACGCGGAGTCCAACACTCTACCAACTGAGCTACGGGACCGGCTCAGTGATGGCGTTAACCGCCATCAGTGTCCAATGAATAGCAGGAATTAATTATTTGTTAAATTTCTTAATGCTTTGATCGCGGTAGCTAAACATACCATTTACGATTGGCCACGCCGGCAATAATTTCGATTCTCCTTTAGGTAGCTGCATTTTTTACGCTGAGTCGATACATAGCTGGGAAGTATCCGACCTCTACGTTACTACTTAAAATTACTATAACTTTTGCAATGATACTGCTGCACTTAATTCAGCTCATAGAAGATTCATTTCGCATGTGAGTCATTTGAGTCGGCTAGTATCCTACAAGCTTTCATTATAATGCGTTATAGGTGTTGCATGTGTGATTTTTCTTAAAAAAATGGAACATTGTGAAATCGACTTATTTTATTGTAGCAATAGCGGAAACAATGGCTGTTGGTGATCAGCAATGAAAAATCGAGTGAACATATTGACATAACATTCAACAACAATGGAATTGATGCATTCAGTTCACGCACCGAAATAAAACACGACAAACACGAGGCACATCCCGTCGTAAAACATCGTAAAACACATATCACATTTCACGGCAGCACCAGCTTCCCAAGCTTTCCAAGCCTGGTCACATTATCCAAGACGGTCAAATAGCCTTCTCAGGAAGGACGACAGTCCTCCTCCACTATAACTGGGCGCGGGTTTCACTGGACCGTCCTGAGGACCGACTCCAGCAACGTGTATCAATTCCTGAGTAGTTTCAATCCCTCCGTCAAAGAGTTCCCCCAGTTCCCCCACCTCCCCCCGCTCTCCCCCGGTGGTTCCCCTTCCTCCCCCTGCTCCGGCAGACACGGTGACCGGCGCCGCCTCATAGCGGCGCGGCTGGTCAAAGAACTTCAGTCCCGTCTCTGCCACCTCGCCCGCCTTCTGGCGCTCCAGACAGGCGTCTGCAGGCTCATTGGGCCCACACACCCTCCCCTGGACACACTGCGGCTGCAGCAGGTCGAAGAACAGCCGGCCCACGCTGTCGGCCTCCCGCGCAGAGGATGCCTTCAGACAGCGGTAGAACTCCTGGTCACAGGCGCAGTGGGACCTGAGGCAGACAGGACGCTCAGGGTTAGACGCTGCGGGGGACAGTGACAGAGATGGTATAATGCAGACCGAGATAAAACAATCTGAAAACAATACAGACGTTGAATCGAGTTGGAACACTGAAGCAGCCATTTTCCGATTACATATTAGCGGAATCGACCTCGTTTCTATGTAACTCCATCAGTAGACTGTTTACCGCTATCCATCGGCATCAAGTATTCGGGTATTCGCTGGCTCCCATAAACAGCAATTTACAACTGAATAGATAATGAGCGCCTTGGGCAGCAATTACAGAGACTTGGTCACACTCGCAATAAACTCGATCGCTGCTTTTTTCGGTGTTGATTACCCAGCATGAGTCAGGAAAATGCCGCCACCATCGGACCGTAAACACCGTCTCGGTAATACAATGACGCACACGCGAGCAGCTCATTAAAACAAGTGATGCATAAATAAATGCGTCGCCTCACCGAGAACCACAATCGCCTCACCGTGAAAGGGCTGTAAGCGCGAGGTCGCACGATAAATATCCATTAGGGGACTAAGGGCTTGGCTGAACACTATAGGTACATGTCTCTCTCATGCTAAAGGCGACCTTGAAGCACGAATTATGCATGAATAGAAGAAGGGATTTCCCAAACAGTGATTTAAAATACATTATGACCGTAAAATGAAGTTCTAGATCTGACTGGGAAATACCCTACCAATGTACTTTAATACTCGCCGGCCGAGGGGGGGTGGGTGCCGCCCCCCCATAGGGTTTTTTCGCGATAGCTCCGAACACGCTGGCGATAGAGAGCTGAAACTTGGCATACCTGACCTTTGATCCAAGACGCATCTTTTGACACCAACCGCATTTTTGGGTCAGGTCAGGTCACTGACCTATGACGTCATAAGTGAACCTCTGCACGGTCTTCAGATGTCGCAACTTCGCAACGCCCTCACTGCCAGAGGAGATGTCACAGGGAAATGAAACTTGCAGGATCTAGTATCCATTATGAGTCCCACAACTTGTATATCTCGGATTTTTCCTAAAGGTCATATGAGGTCAGGTCATTTTCATGACCTCACCATTATAAGTCAATGGGGAAAAATGAAAACTGCTATTCTGGCGCCGGGAACGATCTCCAACTATCTCAAGCACACAGAATCGTGATTTGATGCACTCCTTGCAAGGTTAGATGCGTCACTTTTGCAATGTTGACCATGCGTGACGTCATTTATGACGTCATCAAGGTCATATTAGTTTTTCGTCAATAACTCTTGATCAAATTGAGCTAGCGAGTCGGGAAAGCTACCAATGGACTCAGGAAGACCTGCCGAATCGAATGATATGCGACATGACCTCTTTCGACCAACTTCGTGACCTGGGGGTGCTGACCTGACCTTGACCTGAGGTCAACACCCCAAGTTGACCTGACCCGGACAAAAAGTATATTATTCGACGCGCCTGAGCGAGGCGAACACGATGCTGCCAAAATCGGCGCTCTGCGGCCGTTTTTTGCGAAGTTATTCACCAAAAACTGAACCGTACCTTGGGGCACTTGACCTGACCTCAGAGGTCACCGGTTGACCTAGGACCTTAAACTCGGGTACCAATCTCTGCGTCTCGTAACGGCGCACACGCTCGTTTTTTCCGCGACGCGCTAGCTCCACCAGGGGCGAAACGGCGAGAGGGGGGGGTCGTACCCGCCCCCCCCCCCTCGGCCGGCGCGTATGTAGAAAACCAATAGGTCTGGCGAGGGTTAAGACCAGTGTCAATGCTACGCAGTTGTCAACGTGACAGTGCAGCAAGGACGACCAGCACATGCCTGAGCAAAGACTTGCTTACTTAGTGTACACTCCCCAGTTGAAGAGGTCGTAGCGCCGTTTGTAGGCCTTGACCTTGACCGGGCAGAGGTCATGCGTCCGACAGCAGCGGTCCAGCTCGGCGTTGGTTCCGAGGTCGTTCCAGCCTTCGGCAGTGTCTCCCAGACCACACCACTTCGTACCTAGAGAAAAGGAGACGCTCCATAAAAGCTCTTTACTTCATAAATTTGCATACACTCAATCTAACACTTAATTTGTGTACCACCGCTCACAGACCCCATGAAAGTTATATATCTTTTTAATACCGAGCAAACACTTTTAATTGCCTAGACCTTCATGGATTCATATGTCGTTCCTCTGCATTCTGTACGGCCTACTAACCGGGCACCAGTCCCCTGAGCAGCATGCTGGCGTCCCAGTGGTCGCCGCTCTTGGTCAGCTCGGCGGCCTGTCCCTGCGGCCGCCGGCGGCGACGGACAGTGTCCAGCTGCTGGCACCGCCGCAGTGTGTCGAGCATGTGTGACAGGGAGACGTTGGTGACCGGCCGCTCCCGTCGGATGGCCGCCAGTCGCCGGCGCTCGTCATCCGCGTAACTGACAGAGCAGA